CCAGGAAGTGGTTGAGCTCCTCCAGGCCTCCCAGAGTGTCCTTCAACACAGCAACCAACTCCTTCTCCAGCTTTGCATGACTTTTGTCTGCATTCACCCAGGTCACCTTGCTCTTCCCATATTCCAGAAGGGCCTTACCTTTCTTCTTTGACTGGTAAACATGTCTCAAGTTCATGTCAAGTTTGTCAGCCTTATTTTTAATGTCTACCATGGTTTTTGATTCTGTCTTCCTCTTGTCCACCCATTCAGAGATCTTGTCACAGAATCGTCTCACTGAGTCGATGTAGCTGAAGGTATCTGTGATGTAGCGGCACAAATCCTCCTGTAGTTCCTTTCTGTAAGACAAAGCATCAACCATAAATAGCCCTGCCTCTGCTTGTTGCCTCTGGGTCAATCTCTTGAGACATCGACTTGTCTTTGATGTTGTTTATTTTGCTCAAGTCTTTCTTTCTATCTTTTATGAATTGAGAGAACCCTGCACTGAATCTTCCCACTGCATCAATGTGCTTGACACTTTTTGAGGTGTACAAGCATAGCGGTTCCTGAAGTTCCTCTCTGTAATACAGAACAAACATTGAACTTCCCTTTGAAAAACACATTGATTCAGCTATTTTGTGTAACCCTATTTTCCCAACATTGTTTATCATACCATTGGCATCCTGTCATTCTGCAAGATGATACTGCACCATGTAATTACAGTTCCTGAAACTAGGGCCCTGTTTGTCAGAGCTCCACACACATAAACTAAAACTATATACACAAAATACAAAACATCTTACATCTCTTGCAAAGGCAAGCACTACATCAAAAACTAAATAAACTCTTCTAAAAATGATACTTTGGCTAACGAACTTTACACACAAACACCAAATATATAGATCTTTCCACTGCCAACTGCACACGATTGTTCTAAATCTAAAACATTTTCCACATTTCTACTTTTCTAATGATATGTGCTAAGTATAAAAACACTATTACTGCATGTTTTTGACATTTCTCATTTTTAACATGCTGTAAATATGAACACAGATGCAATGGGGGAACAAAATTTCTTTATTCTCAATACTGAACTGAAGATGACATGAACACTGTGTGCAGTGTTTTGCAAAAATGTGAGGCCGAGAATGTGCGTATAGTTGTGCTGGGCTGACATTTTGCTCCTTGTGTGTCGAGTTTCAAAATCTGTGTATTATTTTTCATTTTAGTGTGTAAGCAATCGTAAAAAACTGTAATATAGTTGCTCACAAGTTATATTTTACGCTGCATTCGTTTTACATTCATTACATTACATTTTACAATCATAAATTATGGTTATCATCTACGCTAAGTAAATTTAAAGACAAATTTCTGCAACATTTTCAGCAGTTGTCATGTAAAATATAATCACTTTTTGCATCAGCTGTTTCCTGTCCTGAGAGTGGAGCCTCAATCAGAGAGATAGTGGAGAAACATTTTTATCTAGAGCAAAATGTTCAAAACTTACTCAGCCTCCACAAAGAACTTTGTCACTTGTACAAAGAAGCATAAGATCTAAGCAGAACTAATAAAGAAGAGAAATGGAATCTAATAGGGAACTGAACAGAAAAGACATTAACTGATAAATTTAATTATTATATAGTACTTTTTCTTTACCTGAATATATTGTGTATATACCTTTTTAATTACGTTTAAATTAGAATTGCGTGAAATTTTGCTGCATACTAATACTGCAAGGCCTATCATGGTTGCAAGATTTTTTAAAAGCCGAGGATTAACAATATTTAATAAATATAAATTACTAATAAAACAGCTTCTATTAATTCACATGAATTCTCTTTTTTGAATGAAAAAAATCCAAAAAGGCCCATCTAAAACCAAACATTTCCACCTTAGTTAATACATCTATTTTAGCCCCTGCAGGTCTTTTACTTCTTGCATAAAATTCAGCAGTGATTTAAAGATTCAAATGTTACCTTGAAGTCATCTGATTGTGTCCACTTGATGTGGTGTCATCAACTCCTTGTAGACTTGTCATTTTACTTTATGTATAGATAAAACAAACATCTGGGGTTTAGAGTAAAAAGACTTTTCTCATCCGTGTTTGATGGACTGAACTTCCTCTGAGGGGACTTGGTGAGGAGGGCCTCACTATGATGCATGCTGGTTTGGTTTCACTTTCCCTTCTCAACATATTCAATCACATATTTTTTGTTGATGTCTTTTCTCCAAAACTCATGAACAAGCAAATTACAGATTTACATACTGGAGAATTAAATATTACCTTTGCCATGACTAGAACATTAACAGCAGTATAATTATTTCTTGTAAATTCTTAATCAATTAATTAATTAAGAATTCATTAATTCTTGAAATATAAAAATGATTGATAATTATGGATTATGCAAGTTTTTCCTTTGTTTAATAAATGCAGTTGTAATGCTACTAAAGTGAGTTGTTTAATTACCATGGTTGTACCAGAGTTTACACAGAGTGAAAAGTGAAGTTCCTCTCTGAACTTTGTGAACTTCCTTTCCCCTCTGTTCTCACTGTTCATGCACTGACCACAACAGCTCTAGCACACAGCTGCTAAGTGCTATTTTCGCCAGTCAGTGGTTAAAGGTTTTTCGGGCTGCAACAAGTCAAACTGTCAAACTGCAGGATTTAGCTGTATTTATTTACTGTATGTACTTTTCTTGTCTTTTTCATTAGTTGTGTCATTTTTGTTCCTCTATTTTTCTCTGCACTTTGAACAAATTGTTTGCGGTAAAACAGCTTTTTGAATGGAGCTGCATCAAGAGAGCTGAACTTCGGCCTTTTGTGGAATAGTTCAGCTCAACGGAGGAAAAGTGTTGCTGAAAATGTTGACGGCAATATCAATACACCTGCAATAGCAGTTAGTTCCTCCTCAATAATTCATTTGTTGACCTCTGATTTTACTACTGTCACAAACACATAACAGAGTCACTCAGCTTGTGACACTTTTTTAAAACAGTTTTAATGGTATAGTATCTTGTACCAGGCCTAAGGCACCAGCGTATAGCTCCACACCAAATCTGACCAGAGCATTTTAGTCCGAATTTCACCATCTGCTGGGCTCATTCAGCCCTGACTCACCATTGTCATTTGCATTACCAGTTAGTTTTACCAAGCTTAAGCAATAGGTTACAATACATTACCTGTTAGGAGCCTGAGAAAGAAGATGTGAAAATACATATTGATATAAAAACTTCAAATAAAGAATAAAAAGCATTAATCTTTGAGATTTTGAAATAACTGCCCTAACTTTTCTGCCCAGGTTCTGTTTATATTTACTTTTCCTATCTTGACATTACTGCCCTTATGTATTGTGATTTCACTGGCAGACACCCAACATAGGCTATGATTAGACCTATATTATGTTAGTAATACAAGTGGTATAAGGTAAATAATATAAGTGAAACAAAAAGTGAAGGGCAATATTTTACTGTACTGTCTCTCTCTCTTCCTCTCTCTCTCTCTCTCTCTCTCTCTCTCTCTCTCTACAGTGTGTCTTGCTCTGAATGAAGGTAAATAAGGTTACTAAGGTTTGTAATGAAAAGAAATCCAACAATCAAGTATTGACGGCCACATCCAAAGCAAACTCAATGTAGAAAGACAGAGCTGGTGGTGGTAGCAACGCAGCAGACACACAGGCGGTGTGAATACACACACACACATGCGAGCCTCAGCAGGTCAGTGACATCAAAGCAGTGTGTCAAGCATAAATAGGTCCCAAAATGATTTTTTGTTTTTCAGTGCTTTTGCACATTCTGACCAGCAGATTCCGCCAAACTGCTAACAACTCATAATCTGAAACATGACAAATTAACCTCAACCTGACACTCTTTTAAGAGGTTTTGTATTGCAATTCAACAGCATATCGTATGTTTTGTAATGTAAAATCTTAATTTGGAAAGTAACTAGTTTCTCCAGCTGTCAGATAAATGTAGTGGAGTAAAAAGTTCAATATTTCCCTCTGAAATGTAGTGAAGTGGATGTATAAAGTATAGCAGAAATGGGATTAAGTACATATACTTTAAAATTGTATTTATAAAGAATATTTGTGACTTTCTGCCACTGAATTCCTATTATTTCTATTACCATTTAAAATTTAGAAAAACCAAGCTCATGTTTTTGCCCTCGGAAGTATTTCCCTTGTTTGGTGGTTCTCGTGCTTCCTTTCAAGCTTAACACCCAAATGTCAGGCTCACTATTGCCCCCTGCAGTGTGACCCAGAAACATAAACACCCAGATCCCAGTTATTATTTTCATCGTCTCCCTAAAAAACAGATGCAAAAACTTTTACATTACATATATATATCATAATGCTAAAATTCATTATTACAAGAAAGAGTCAAATTATTAAAGCACATTTTTTTTAAATGTGTCAAAAGATTGAGTTGTTTTTAACATATTTATGTAATATTACTTTTGGTTTTCTGTTTTTGCATAAAGGCAGAGGGTTGGGCATTATAAGCTAGCTATGGCATTGGCCCCTGCTGTATACTTAGAATAAACATAAAATAAATTATTGATGCTTGAACATAAGTGCTATGTTAATATTGCAGCCGGTCATGGTGGATCATTTATATACAGCTAGGTAGTTTAATAGTGCATCACATACTATAATTTAATCACTTTTTTGTATAAAATCCATCTAATTTTTAATTGTGGCTGCCAGGTACATGTAGTAAAGAACACAAAAAGTCCTTTAAAAATGTAGACACAAAATAAACTGTATACTGTAGTACTGTTAATGTTACTACTTCCCTCTGATGGATTACAGCAGATGCCCCCAGGCTGTTTCCCCAAATGCAGACTAATGCAATAACAAAAGAAAGAAAAGAAATTGTAACTTGTTTGTAGCCTCAGCGAACAAAACGTATGTACCTTACTTCACATTATGATCAGAATATACAGGAGGTAATATACTGTGTCCAGCCCAATAAGAAGTGAAGACATTTGTACATGGAAGTAAATTCAAGGAACATATACACACACACTGCACATTTTGAAACAATTTACTGTCTCAAAGTTGTTTTGAACTCAACATGTTGAAAATATCACAATACCAAAGTGCCAATAAAATTAAATTTCAGAGATAATACAGCAGTGACATTGTTAATATTCACACTCACAGCAGAATTGAAAAGAGGAATGTTCCAAGCATGTACAAAACCTTAAATCTGTTAGCATGGAATATTCTTTATTAAGTTAGAGCAACAGTCTTGGCATTTTTAATTCGATCTCAGTTAACACTGAAAATTAAAGGCATTTCAACAAAAACTCTGTTGCTCATTTTAATTTCTTGAAAAATAAGTTATTATACAACATTCATGAAATAATGTACAAGGTCTGTGCATCAATGCACAACAGAAATAATATCCAGAAATTATGATTTCTAGTGAGTCTGACAGATGTGGAAATGCTGACTGACAGCTGGCATAATAAGTAGTGTTACATTGGCATTTTCTATGAACAGCACATCACCAGCCCAGGCATGACTAAAGCACCATCCAACGATGGTGGTAGTGTTGTATGTGGCAAACAGTAACAGACTAAAGCAAGCAGGAAACCAGGAGGTAGGCATGTCTGCAGAAAGGTGATAGCACATGTACAGCGTGGCACAGAAGTATAAGGGCGGCATTAAAAGTAGTTTTCGGAGGAAATCTTTGGATTTCAGCCCGACTTGAACAGTAGAATGGCCACTTGGCCCAGGTAGAAGTAGATGAAATGCTTCGTCTCGTGCGTCACATAGCTGCCAAAGTTCCTCCCAACAATGCAATGCCATGTGGGATTGTACTTCTTGTCAAACTCCTGCAGGAAAGATAATATTTAGCACAGCATAGATAAGAGGCCATTAAAAAAAAAAAAAAACACGTGTCAATAAAAGTTAGATGTTTGTGGAAATCATTTAATATTAAAATCAAACGTACCTTTTTGACGTAGGCGGCGATATCCTTCTCAATGTTGTACTTTTCCATAGCTTGCATGGCACAGTCCACTGCGTCCTGCTGCATTTCATCTGACATGTCAGCATTCTTTATCACTGCCTTCTTGTCAGACATGATGGCTTTTTGTTTTAACTGCACAGGAGACAAAATAAATCATAATATTCAGTTACATTTTCCCCCCCGAAATAGTTCTTACAAGTTTCAGATAGTGAGACTGTCCATGGCATCAACATTTGCTTACAGAAAGACTCTTAACTACAGCTGGGGCCTATTTATTTGCATCTTGATTTGATGATTTACATGATTTACAACTGAGTGCTAAGTGAGACTCGCACCTTGTACTATCCAGTCAACTGTATTGGAAGCCCCATGAAGCAGGATTACCAAATTATCTGGATAATTTTGAGGAAAAACCTTGACCACCACCCCCTCACCCCACCCCACCCCACCTCACCTCAGCTTACCCCCAGATGTACCCAGACAGCTGTTTTGGAATATACTTGCTGCATTTAGACAACTCACTAATGTGGATGTGTGAGAAAGACAATGTATCCTGTCTGAATGTATCACAATAAGCAGTGAAAGAAGGGTGCTGACATGACACATAATACTGCAACATTACTGAAATGGATGCACCTGCATTGTGCAACTGACAGCATTATAACTTTGGTTAACTATTTCTTCACATATTCAACAAGTTGCTCCTTATATGATTCAAAACTTCAGTAATCGGTAATCACTAACTCAAGTTGTGAGGTTTGCAAACAATGCAAAGAAAGTGGAAGGAGCATTCACACAGATTCTCAGGACAAATACAAGAGGCTCAGGCGAGATTAGCATGCAAGCACCAGAAGCCTCGGTATTCACCCTCACTGGCTGACAGTGCAGAGGTTGCATCGACAACATACAGCGAGTCACACTAGCAGACATGGAGTTCAATCTTACCGTCTCTCTGCGAAGTTATAACGTTCAGATGTGTGCGTTACGGGCAGCTGTATAGCTTTTCGTTCATTTATGCACGGGAAGTGTGCGTCTCTGCCCCGCCCACCACATCACCTCCTCTATCTGATTGGCTGGAGTGAAGGCTCCACCCTGCTGACGGCGTTTTCTACTTGCGCACAGTGCCTGCATCTTATTTCAACCCAGAATGCACCATTTTCACTACCCCCCCCCTTCCTCCACTTCAGTGGGCGTGATTGATCCAGGTGATTGGGTTGATCGATAGTATTGATCAGCATCACTTGCAAAACATTAAACGCTAGATTGGACCGAAACAGAGGAGGCAAGGCACATCTCGAATATGCAGGAGTGTAAAGAGTATTGATCCCATGCTGGTTGGAAAACAGAGTATAACGATCACGCTAAAAAATGTTAAAATGAAAAAGATCATATTTCATAAAGGGGTTTTCAGCGATTTTTCCACATTGGAAGCCAAGAGCTACTTCATTAACCATTTTAGAAAAAGGCAATCTAGTCCACAACAAATCATGTTCAGACAGTTATACAGCTCACAGTTGTCCTAAATGACCTTATACTGAAACATTTCTCTACATCCTTCAATGCAGCATGATGACATAATGGACACTTAGCTCTGACTTCCTGTGGGCTTTGACCAGCAAGATAACTGGGAAAAACCTGAGAGGAAAATATCTCTGTATTGCTGAGACTGGATTATGACCCGAGGTTACAGAAGTCTTCTTCTTCAGTTTACTTCTGGGATAAATTTGGCTGCTCTTTTTTAAAGTCCCCCTCTGTTCAAAAATGGGGTATGCTTATTGTTAGTTAAATATTTGAGCTTCACTGTGCAGAATGATGTACATGCAGAGGTTGACGCTGAAAGGTTGTTGTTTTTTTGACTCATCTGCTGAAGGGAGAAAGTTTCTCTGTGCTCACCTTAAATCTGAGTTTAAAATGTGTATGAGCAGCACTTGGTGCAATCGTGGTCCAATCTGAGTGGAGTTTACAGTGAAGAAGGTGACATTGTGTGTCTAGTTGGGAAACCTTTGACATGAAAAATATTTGCATATTCATAGATCCTGGATGTTTCAACGAGACAGGAGCCGTATATTTATTTTCAAAAGGGTAATTGAACTTTTTTGTAGAATAAACCATATGAAACATTTAATAGATGTCTTATGTTGTCTTGATCTTTAAGTGATTACCTGGCGATCGAGGCTTGAGTATACAGCCAAGGTTTAGTGAAAAAATAAGCATCAGTTAAAGAAAAGAAAAAAAAAAAAGTGTTATTGTTGTTACTGTTTCCTGTGTTGGATGGTCTTCTTATTAATGCAAGCAACAGTACTTGTGTGTCAGTATTCTTGATGGGTGAATGGTGAATACAAAATGGTGAAAACACCAGAATGGGTGAATCAGTGAATATTTAGAATTTTTCTACTACTATATACTACTATAAAAAAAGAGAAACGTAGTAATATGAAACTATAAATTCAACTTTTATTGAAGAGAAAAACACAAGATAGTGAAGATTATACCTAGCAAAATTAAAAGTAATCTTCTACAGCAGAAGACTCACTTAAGAGAAAACATATTAAGGTAACATTCCCCTACACACCCCTTCCCTCTTCCCTCCCTTCTCCACTGTTAATGGTTGCCCACTATTTACCATTCTCCTTACGTGCATGGATCCATCCTGCACCTCCCAGCCCTCCTCCTGGATTTGATCCAAGCTTTGCTCCACTTAATAAAAAAATGTTTTTATCTAAAAAACACTCATCACTCATCAAGATGTCATCAGTGATTTTGTCTCTGAGGTCCCACATGAAAAAAAAATGTGGTCATGTGGACAGAGCCAGGGGTCGGGATCCTCTCCCAGTAAAATGCTCCCATGCTCCTGCTCCATGTATCCATCCTGAAGCCTAATCCTAATCCTGATCTGATCCTGAATCCTGATCCGGCTCCAGAATGGGGAGACAATGAGCCCAGTCCAAACCTTCAGAATACCAGCAGAACCAAAGAGAAGGACGCAAGTTAGAATCACACCTTCACAAATGATTTGAAAATGTCAATAAATGCATCTATGAGGAAGTTTACACTGAGAAAAACAAGGGACGTCGTATATGGTAAATCCAAAAAAAATACTTACTTTGGATACTAACAAATGAGCAAAAGCAGAAACAACAGTGACTACTGGATTTCTAAACAGAATGTAGTGTTTGGTATATGAAGATGATATACAATTAAGTGATACTGTCTTGACCCAACCCAGGAAAAACTGCAGGACCAGTGTGAGGAAACACTGGACTTTAAGGGCTACTGACGGAAGGCAAGTAACTTTGCTGGTACTCATAACATAACGGGAGCATGCACAAGTACAGCAACTACAGCATAACAAAACAAAATTTGTAATAGAAACATTTGGTAATGGTACTCAGCTATTTTCAAGCATATATTCAGGGTAAAAAAAATGACATAAGCCTTATTTTATGCAGATTTCAGAGTTGTGAGAGGCCACAGCCATCATACCATTGGTGCCATGTTTGATTCCTCCTCCTCCTGCTTATCTTAATATGAACTGTGTCTCCTTTTCCTCTGTTTCCATCCTGTCCTGCTCCTCTGAATTCTACAGAGAAACACACGAGAGGGTCAAATGCAAGACTGAGAAAAATATTTAACTATACCACCTGCAAAATAACAACTACAACATAAGACATACAATGATACATTCCACTAAAAGGTACCCTTCCTTACACAAAGCACACAAAAGGGGGAGACGATGTTAGCAGAAAGAGGGATGTTGATCATTTTGGGGTGAAAAGGAAACACTGGGAAAATCGAAAAGGAGAATATAAATATAAGAGAGAGGGCAACGTACACAGACCAGGGTATTAACTGGTCAAACAAGAATCTGCCAAAATGTGAAATGAAATAAAAATCACAGCAGAAAACTGGGGAAACAGGAACATACAACAAGAGAAACAGCAAACAACTAACATATCAAATGGTCCATGGAGACTGTCCAGGATTTGTTCTGTGAAGTTTGTCTTCTCCACTCATAGATGCATTGCTGGCTGGTGGTTTGATTAAGGTCATGTGTGCCTTAAGTGCAAGTCCGCGAGCGGGAATGCCGGGGTGAATAACGTGGAGTCCTTCTGCTGTGACGTGGGGAGAAGCTGCGTGAGCTGCTGTTGCTCCTGCTTCGACTGCGGCTACGAGAGCGGAAACAACCCGTAGCTGGGGCTGCGAGGACCGTCCATCTTCATGCGTATGTAGGCCGTCTCTCCCTGAAGACACAAACAAGTGAGCAGGAATGGGAAAACAGCTGCTTACTCATAGTTATTATGGTTAAAAACAACATAAAAAGGTTTTCCCTCTCATAAAGTGTCTTCACAAGTGCCTCGCTCTTATAAAGTGTCTCCACATAGAAATGATACATGACAGGCAGAGTAAGCACTCACCAGTGTTGAGCTTCATCAGAGCATCAGAGATAAGCTTTATCAATCCGGAACCGTGCAGTGGCAGGAATGACAGGTTTACACTGTATAATGACAAATCAACAACATTGAGCATGAATATAAACTGACCTTTACTTGCTGTCCAGTTGTCTTCACCCTAATGCCCATTTTCCCCACTTAACCTGCTCCATGTTTCACTTCAAGAGTAACCTTAAACAAACAGTTTCAATTCCAAAATCTAATCCTAGAGAGATTCCTTACTGTAACCCTAACCTACCTCATGAGAGCGAAACTTGGTGTTGTCCAGTTTACGGACAGCGTAGGTCATGTCTTCTTTGCGTACAAACTCCACTACGCCAGTGCCATCACGGTACACATCAGCATAACATACATCCTTCAGGTCCTGCAAGCTTCCACTGGGGGGAAGACCTGACAGGAAGAAAGGAAGGCGATAAGTATCTCAACAGTTCCTCCATGCAAGGTAACAAGATAATGTTAGGGCTATATCACCAACCTGAGACAATAACTCTGAACTCGGAGCGCCATGACGGAGGACCGTATCTTCCCCTTGTGGTTCCTAAAGCTCCACCACCACCATCACCACCGCCTCCTCTCCCACCTCCTCGTCCACTTCGAGGGAACTCAACGCGCAGACGGTAGTCGTAACCATCACGTCCATAAACCGCATCTTCTGCATCCCTGAAGGGTGACAGTGAGAGTCACTCACTTTTCCCTAAATGATAGAGTGTAGAAGATGAGTTACATATCAGTATTTAGTTTTACCACATTTCCTACCACTGTTGGGATTTTTGGGTACACTACATGGTTCATAAATGTTACACTACAAGCGTGAATATTCATTAAATGGCATAGAGGAAATAGCACACGTTTTTTAGACACACATGATCCATTCTGTGTTGAAGCATTCAAACCCATTGAGTAACAGTATCTCTGTCCATGGTGCTGAAAAAGTCAAACAAAGTCTCTCTTCAATCAGATTCATTTAAAACAAACATACAGTTTCTCAACTTTTACACTGTAACATTATGTAATGGTGGGCCTGTTATTAAAGTCCCTCAAAGGTATTTTTGACATTTCTCTACTGACATGCCACCACATCTGCTGACACTAGTATATACTGCCAATATACTCTGTCAAATTATTGGTCGAACCAACCAGCAACCGACCAACACACTCTTAACAACCACCTAGCAGGAGACTTGCAACTGCACAGAACAATATAAACCCCATATAAAAATCACTAACACACACCAAACCACCTCATGACAAACACCTGGAACACCACAGCAACTGCCTCACAACAACCTTAACAAACCCCAGAACACCCAGATTTCTGACATGTCGATTTAACTAAGAGTTCATCTAAAAGGGCATTGATACAAGTGCTACCTGTAACTAGTTAATTAGAAGAAGAGTGTTTCTCCAATCTCCAGTGTCAAAGAACTGTAATGTTTATGAACAAAGGTTTGAAGCGGCACAATTGGCATGTTTCAGATTAAGATTCAGATTAAGTAAACCGCATCTTTACAACTCTGACGATTCTATCTATCCAGGTAACAGGTCTAAAACTATTACCTGGATAGATAGAAGGTTTCAAGTTTTAAAGGTGTGTGATAGTGCTAGGAGAACAGCTTTAGCTCTGAAATAAGGGAAATGAGGTTCAAATGTGGCACCGCAGTTTACCTCGAGTCCTCGAAATCCACGAAAGCAAATGGCGGTCCTCCTCTCCGGTTCTTCAGATCAATATCTCGAATGATTCCGTATTTATAGAAGACGTCCTCCACGTCTTTGGTGCGGATATCAGGGGGGAGGTATCCCACGTATATACGACAGTCGTTACTTCCTGCGGGTCCGCGAATGACACCTCCGACGGACATGTTTAACAGTGGCTCAACAAAGTTGACAGCTACCGAACTGTTCAGGCTACCAATTGTTTGACCTCCAACAAGAAATTGTAGAAATATATATTTATGGCTGTTGTCGCTTAATTAATTACAAGCATAATCTTTACGGGAACGTTGGTGGAGGCCCTTCATAACAGTCCAGTCGGTATCCCTGCGGTGGGCGAGCCTTATTAACCAATAGTAGAAATCATAGCCATGTCGTCATTATGTACTGCTGTAGTGACATAAAATTTAAATATTAATCTATTTTATATACTTTTTACTCATTTGATATTACCTGATGTCTGAAATTTGTATTGTACAATGTTCAATAATTAAATAATAATTAGATATAAAAACTTATATTGTATATTATTATAGATATACATTTATAAATCTGTTGAAATGCCACTAGCTAGCTACAGAAATCAGGACCTTTGATTTCTGAAAACGGAATACAGATTAAAAGCCACAAATATAAGGAAAAACATGATACATTTTTTACTTTTAACAGTAGAAGAAAAATCACTCCACATGGAAGATTTGTGTGGAACTGATTTTTCAGATGCATGTTCAGATGCAAATACTCTGAGGTTATCCCCAACAAATGGAGAAGTATGATTCAAAATTGTTCATAATATATATCCCACAAACTACACTTCAAGATTTGAAGATACCATCAGCACACCTGTTTGTAAAGAGAAAATAAAACATGTATTTTAAGAATGCCCATTCACAAAAAGAATCTGGATAAACATATAGGAATATTATACCAATATACAAACCTTACAGTTATCTTGGAAGCCATATAATTTCAATATAACCAAAACAAGAAACAAAAATACAGGACTGTTTACCTATTAATTTTATTAATTAATTTCATATTCAAAGCCCACATTTTCTAAATCTGTTGAACTATTTACTATTGAGCCTGTTTAATTTATTAATAAAACCACACATATCTTGTCTGCTTCAGGAGTTATGAGATTTAATATAAAAAGCCTGTTTACTTTCATTCTTTTTTTCTCTTACTTTTATCATCAATGGCAATATTAGTACATTTACTAAAATACTGTACTGTAATACTGTAAGCAAAATTTTGGCGTAATTTAACAGAGTGTTTCTATGTGTTTTGCATGTTTTGGTGCACAACCCTTTGTGGTATTAAAAATACTGAGCAAGAAAAACACAGACATTTTCTAATGTTATTGAAAGTTTTATTAAAAGAGAATAAAGCTTTGAGATACTGAAGATTATACTTAAGAAAATCAGAAATCATTCTCCTCTGGAAAAGACTCACTTAAGAGAAAAAAGATACAAACCACATTAAGGTCACATTCCCTTGTCGCTTCCCAGTCCTCCCTCTTCCCTCCCTCCTCCACTGTTAATGGTTGCCCTCTATTTACCACTCTCCTTACGTGTGTGGATCCATCCTGCACCTCCCAGCCCTCCTCCTGGTTGTCATCCAAGCTTTGCTCTTCTCATTTATAATAAAAAAAAAAAAAAATATATGAAAAATAAATTGCTCGTCACGTTGCCGCCAGTAACTGTGTCTCTGAGGTCCAACAGAAATTGGAAAAATTAATTTGGATTATTTGAAAGCCAATTTAGTTTGAAACTTTCACTACAATGTCTCCGGTTTGATGGGGTTATGTGGACAGGGCCAGGGGTCGGGATCCTCTCCCAGTAAAATGCTCCCATGCTCCTGCTCCATGTATCCATCCTGAAGCCTAATCCTAATCCTGATCTGATCCTGAATCCTGATCCGGCTCCAGAATGGGGAGACAATGAGCCCAGTCCAAACCTTCAGAATACCAGCAGAACCAAAGAGAAGGAGGCAAGTTAGAATCACACCTTCACAAATGACTTGAAAATGTCAATAAATGCATCTACGAGGAAGTTTACGTTGAGATAAACAAGGGACTCCGTCTATGATCAATCCAAAAAAAAAAAAAAAAAAAACTAAGATTTACTTTGAATACTACAAAAAGAGCACAAGCAAAAAACACGAGCTTTGGGCCTCGAAATACAAAGTGTTGTACAGAACTTGTTAGTACTGTAAAACAATCCATAACACTCTATTGTCAAGTATATGAAAAAAAAAAAAAAAAGCCGAACAGGCTTATAATGCAGATTTCACAGTTGACAAGGCACAGCCATCGTACCATTGGTGCCATATTTGACTCCTCCTCCTCCTGTTTATCCTAATATGAACTGTTTCCTCTGTTTCCATCCTATCCTGTTCCTCTGAACTCTACAGAGAGACACACAAGAAGGTCAAAGGACAGCAGTATATGCTTAGAAGAAGCAAAATCTTTACAAACGAAACAAAACAAAGCACACGAGGACAATCAGAAAAAAAAGAATAGAAAAGAGAAAAAGATGGTTAGCAGAAACGCAATGTTTGTGAGAATGGAAAAGGGGAAGCATGGCAGATCAAGGGTGAAACGGGGCCATGTACACAGACCAGACAACTGGTTTGTGTACATCTGGTCTGCAGAACTGAGAAATACAAAGAAAACTGCAAAAAAAAAAAAAAAAAAAAAAAAAAAAAAAAAAAAAAAAGGGGAAAAGGGAACACACAACATGACAGTACAAACAGGTAACACAGGAGATGATCCATGGTCAGTGTGCAGGATTGGATTTGATAAGTGATGTGAAAATTTCCTCTTCAGCTCTTAGGTACACCATTGCTTTAGTTAAGGTGAGGTGCGAGATCTAGGTGCGAGAGCGGGAGCGGGAACGGGAACGGGATCGCCGGGGAGAGTAACGTGGAGACCCTCTGCTGCGACGAGGAGAGTAGCTGCGAGACCCGCTCTTGCTCCGGCTTCGACTGCGGCTACGAGAGCGAGAACGACCATAGCTGGGGCTGCGAGGTCCGTCCGTCTTCACACGAATGTAGGCCGTCTCTCCCTGAACACACAAACAAATGAGCAGGAATGGGAATGCCAACCATGACTAAGCATTCGTTTATGTAATGAGTAAGTTGCTACATGAGACTCAGGTAGACAGAAGGAAATACCTGCGGTCACAAACAGCAAAATTAATGTCTTTGGGGACATTTACTCAAAACTACACTGCCACGTTTAACGTGCTCATATGCTGCTGCAGAAGTAACCCAGAGCCCTAATTCAGATTTTCGAATATCTGTTTCTGTGTTTGCTGTTTGGTGACATCAGATAAAAATCATCTAGTCACTGAAATTTAGTCTTAAAATGCCACCATCCCTGTCATGATCACTCAATGAATGGCATGCATAGCCAGAATGACGCAAAGAAACAATAACGAGCCATTCAAACTCAAGACTGGTCTTTACTTACTGCTCAGTTATTTTCACTCTAACTTGGGCTTTCTTCAATTGAGAAAATGTTTACTAAAAATTCAATTTAGCCTTTACCTACCTCATGAGAGCGAAACTTGGTGTTGTCCAGTTTACGGACAGCGTAGGTCATGTCTTCTTTGCGTACAAACTCCACTACTCCGGTGCCATCACGGTACACATCAGCATAACATACATCACCTGCCTCTCGCATGTGATCCTTCAGGTCCTGCCAGCTTCCACTGGGGGGAAGACCTGACAGGAAAAAGGTGGCATAAGACTCAGTCTTATCTACGTTTTGGGAAAAGTATAAAAACAACCTAAGAGGAACACAACACGCACCTGACACAACAACCCTGTACTCAGAGCGTCGGGATGGGGGACCATACCTTCCCCTTGGGGGTCCCATTGCTCCACTACCACCACCACCACCACCACCACCACCACCTCCTCCTCCTCCTCCTCCTCCTCCTCCCCCTCCTCCTCCCCTTCCACTTCTTGGAAACTCAACACGCAGTCGGTATCCATCGTAGTCATAACCATCACGGCCGTAAACAGCATCCTCAGCATCCCTGTGGAATCCAACAGTTACTATTCATCTAACTTCAATCAGGTAAATAAACACACACTGTTTAAGTCAAGGAAGCCAGATATCATTGAAGCCCACTGGTTTGTGTTTGTCGCAACATGTTATCTTACAATTGCAGTGATAAAACCTGGGAGAAAAATGCATGCATTTGTAAGTGGGAAAACATGTTTAATAATGTGACTGTTCTGAATAATTAATTATACTGGTTTATTTATGAAGAAAGGAGTGGAGCTGTTGAAAACAGAAAAGTGAGAGTGTTTGATATGATCAATATGTGCACAGGCGCATAATGGCATGAAGAATACAAAAAGGCATGCATCAAATGGCAGCTATTCGCAACTGGAAGGCATTTCAAGCATAGCAGTGAAGAATGTTGGCAATTTTAAGCTTGAAACACATCGCGATCCATCGCGAAGTAGCTGCCAGTCCATGCCTTTGTGCCTATGTTTAGCATATTAAATTTGCTCAATTTTATTACTAAGAAACCATCTTGGAAGCCCTTTTCATCATTCTACTGTATATTCAAAGATTTAGCAATTAAACTATTGTGTTTTCATGTGTGTTTTATAAAACTAATCCTATTTATTTATTTAGTCTTGATTGACTAAGAAATTTGTAGTGAGTTAGTTGTTTTAATACAATAGTCTTTGTGTGAGGAAAGGGTGTTTAATCATCTATCACTCAATCTTTGGCACCAGAATAAAAAAACTTGTTACAATGTTTGTTTTAATTTCCCACTAAAATACAGCTAGTGGATTCAGTGAGTGTACAGTGCGACATAAAAGTAAACTTGGAATATACACAATAGTACAGTAATGTTATACGGGATGCAACTAAGGTTAATCTGTGTTATCTACCTCATTACTTACAGTGAAACAGTGTAAACAGTAAAAAAGCAACAAAATCGAATTTACTGCAGGTTACCAGATAAACTGTGTCTATGAGTGTGGGTGTGTGGATGTATCTTTTGTAAACAGCTTTGGGTGAAATAAACTACAGGGGGAGATAACGTTGAAACGTGGTGGAGCAATGCAGCTCACCTCGGGTCCTCGAACTGCACAAAGGCAAACGGCGGTCCTCCTCTCCGGTTCTTCAGATCAATATCACGGATGGAGCCATATTTGTAAAACAAGTCTTCAACGTCCTTTGAGCGGATGTCTGGTGGGAGATTTCCCACGTATATACGACAGTCGTTAGTCCCAGCGGGTCCACGAACAACACCTCCTCCGGACATGCTAGCACAAAGCTCAGTAACGTTAACCGTGAAGGAAGTTAGCAACCTGACTAGGAGATCTCCTCCTGACGAATAAACGATAAAATGACGCTTAGGTAGTCAGCCGAACATAAAAATTACACGTCAACTATTTAGTTATAGTCACGTCTTAATGGAAACTGAAATCCTTCCAGGTAGATGTCGAAACAATCAGATGAACAACAAGCTAGAAGTTGTAAGCTGCGGCTCAAGGAATTCGAAAACGCCTTCTTCTTCGGCGCTGTGTCTGAGTGCATCAACTTGCTTTAACGGTGCGCACACCGCCACCTGCTGGAGAATCAGGTTACATCCTACAGGGATGCATGTGTACTGCATATTGAGCTTCAATCAGTCGACGATGGATACAGCAGTTGATAAAACAGTCTCAACTCGTTCTGGGGCTTTCGATCAATGATCTTCTTCAGTGGACAAAAATTTAGTACAACATCTACAATTCTATAACAACTGGATAAACTTCATCTGCTACTGAAAATTATGTGGAGAACATAACTATCAAAATCATGTGATATGATCAAAATTGCAACTACATAGAGCTAACACAAAGATTTATATGGCACTTTTTCACATCGTTTCAAAGAGACAGTAATACAATCATAAGGTAAAAAAAACACTCTCCAAAAAAGCAACATAGCTAAGAACTGTTTTCATGTAGCAACTTTATTGTAAACGCAAATGCATCCTGATTGCATTACATTAACTACATTACTACATTAAAATAGTAAGTACTTTAGTTTGTCCAGTGAGACAAACCAATTAAAAATCGCTTTGGACACTGGTCCCATATTTATGTAATGTTTATTTAAAATCTGGTCTTATTTTGTGTGATCCAAAGAGGCCAGTCAGAAAGCAAAAAAAACAAACAAAAAAATAGTTACAACTTTGTCTTTATTTGTTAATAACTTAGGATAGAATAAAGTGGAATTCAAATATAAAACTTTTACACATTTACAACAATTCAAGCTTTCAACAGTACAGTGTCTGACAGCCACAGCATTCTTTCATTAAAATCTTATGCTAAACACAATTCCTCACACAAAACAATAAAAAAAATCATACATGACTGATTTGTAAACCCCACACTTGAATGCTGCAAATGAGCCTTTCCTCACACCACCTTTGTACCTAAATGTCAAGGCAAAACAGTCTGTTCATAATGTGTTGTTCATCACATCTTCTTCTTCTTGAGTGTTTTTTCAGTCCTTCTTTGCTTGTTTCTCTCTGCGTTTCTGTCTCGCCTCAGACACTATTTTGAGCAGTGACAGCAGAATGGGCACACACATAGGCAGGAAGAGCGGTATGTAGATAGCAAATTTCTGGTCATCGGGGAAGTAGAGGAGGTGGAGGAGTGAAGGGTCGAAGAATGCTCTCTCTGACGCCAAGATGGCCTCTTTGCTGTACTGCAGAGCAAAGCCGAGGTTCCCGGCCTCCAACTCAGCCACTGCCAGCTGCAGAGATGTGACAGCACTGGACACCTGGGCGACAACAGCAACAATTACAGGTTAGATACAACTAATGCAACACAGAGTAGTAATTAATGTACTTTAATGTTCATTTAAATAACAAATTTAGGCAATGCAATTTGTATGATCCTTATAATTTTTTCATAGACAATGTTCAATTGAGTTGCCACTTTGTGTCACTGCATTCATTCTGCCTGGCATTGTGTTCCTAAATTTCTTGTTTAGAGAGGGAGTTATTATTCTTTTCCTTAATCAAACAGTAGCATACATATCCTTCCCTTTGATGTCCTTTCAAGGTAAGATGGAAGCTGCAGTAGCAGTCAACTTAATGTTTATCACACTGATTAAAGAAATATGCAGGGAATTAAGGCGCTAACTGCAATGTCACTCAAATAAAAGCCATGATGTGCCCAAAAATAAAATAAAAATGTTGATTTTAGAGTTATTCTTTCTATAAATAGACTTACAGCAAGTTCTAAAGCTGTGTTAATCTCATCCATGCTTGTCACTGTGTTTTGTTGCTATTTTGTTGCTATTTTTTAGTGCTAGCTAGGTATGTAGCTAGCATGAGGTGCCTGAAGAAAGCAGAGTGTTTGTGTAGCAGCCTGGTAGTGCATCCATTACGCTCTGTGTGCCTGATGCCCCTGACAGCACAGTCATGTATTCACTGAAGCGATTTTGTACAAAAAAAAGTCTCCAAAATGTTTGTAGGTGGTTTGCACATTCATACATAAATCTTAGCTTTTCTGTAGGAAGTGGTGTATGCATCTTTCAAGCCCAGTTTTGTGTGTGTCCAGTGGTTGTAACTGAGACCCCGGAACTATTTGAATCACTGAATAAATCTGAGGTATGGGTTCCAATTCATAGGTCTGAAACCAGACAGGTCAAAGATTACTTTAGTCTGCGATGCCCCTACATTTAATTCTTTAATACATTATTTCTAGAAAGACTATATTTGGTTTGACAGTGTGCTTTCTTAAAATAAATAGGGGTGTGCTTTTGACTGGTAAATGGACTCATGGTGTGCAAATCCACACAATGACAAAAACCCCCAGATTAAAAGTACACCAGAATATGTTCGACAGGGTTGTCCATAATCTTTTCCAAGTAAGTCATACATTAATGCAGCTGCGTGTGCATCTTACCTGTTCAGCAATGTTGTCATTGATAACAATGTTGCCTATCTGATCCAGCAGCTGTGCCAGTGAGGTGATGGTGGTGGTTGCTGTTGCAACATTTTCCACACTCCGACTCCACATGAGGCGATCCAGCTCCCAGTCAGCTAGTCCTGCACTGCCACACGGTGCCATCAGGAAGCCAGGGGGAGGGGAAGACGACTGCACACCCAGCAGCAGTCTGACAGGAGACAGCACAGCAAAGTTATATTGTGTCTCCAGGAAAAGGAATACCTGTGTACTGTGGGTGTTCATTTACCGAAGCTGTGCAAGGAAGACTCCCATGACTTTAGCCATGTCGATGTTGATGTCAACAGGGAACATAGTCTCTGGTTCATAGAAACCATTAACATTATAAACCTACAAGCACATGGATAAAGAGATTTTTGTTAAAGTGTGAATGCAAAATCTCATTCCTATACAGCGATCAAATCATAATTCATACCACATGCCCATAACAATGAGCAATAACTACTCACAATATTTAGACTGTCATCTAATGTTGCCCATAACATTATCTCACCATAATTCCACCCCACCGAGGAGAGTGAAATGCATTAGAAGGCACTTCCTGTTTCTTGTGGTCATGGATGTAAAGGGGTGAATGGTGTGCATCTGGTACATACAGAAGAAAATTCAACACCGGGTTGGAAGATGCAGCATTAGAGCCTGAAAGAAAGATGAAAAAAAACAGTTACTACACATATCTATATATACATATCTATATCTATATAGATATAGATATGTATATAAATACACCAGAACAAACTACGTAATGTTTCTCCTTTTTGCAAACACTTTTACCAAGTCTAGCCTCCACAGGGTTGATGACATGTGCGAGGCTGTCAGCGTTGAGTGTGTAGTAGCTGCGGCTGCTGTCAAAGCGAGGGTTGACACCAAGCACGGCATAGTGTAAGGTCTGTAAGGGGAATAAGCGCATCAACACACAGTGGCTGAGCATTTTGTCATTGTGACGTGGGTGCTGCACATACACACACTTGCACACACTGTACCTGAGAGTCAATGCTAAAGTTGGCTACAGGGGACAGTTTTGTAAGCAAAGGTCGGATGTAGGTCTGCACGGCACCTTCTATGTCCCAGTGTAGCCGGTGAGACTTCGGGTCTGGGTTCAACAGACTGAACGTTATTTCATAACCTACAGAGAAGAATTAGCAGAGAACAGAAGGAAAGGGTTTACAGAGTTAAAGTGTATACTGACCACAGCAGAAATTAACATGATCGACTTTATGGCTGTCCTGAAACAAATACCAACCCGGGCTGGATTTAAAGGCTCTCATACTGTCTGCGATGCTCTCCTTGTTGCCAGGGCTGAGACGGACTCTGTCGCTGAGTGCAGCAGTGATGTCAGTGTGGCTAAAAGACATCACCTGCAGCACCTGCTTAATCCGAGGCTCCAAGTGAGCCAGCAGTTGCTCCAGAGTCTTGCCCACTCTCATCTGCGGACCAATGCGCAGCAATGCTGTCCGTCTCTGACCGATATAAACGTCCACATCCTGAGAGGCATGAAGGTACAGGTAGGTATTTAGTGATGTATTATCCTCTACTTATCCAGAGTGACTCAAATGACTCATAATTCTGTTTGCAAGCAATAGAGAAGGTACTGTATTTAGAAATTAAGCAGTAATAACAGTCTATATTCATCTTTTTTTCAGTGGAAATGCTACTTGACTTCACAGATCCATGAATGTATTTCACAAAAGCTAATTTAGCCATTCATCAAAGCATAAAACTACACACATTAATTAACCCTTTAACATTTAAACATATACACACTGTTGAAAAACAAAGGAAATAAAAAGAACAGGATGGGTAACCAAACATGGCTCATTACAAAAATATAGAAAAAAGATAGGAAAAAATAAAATATAGAGTGTTTTAACCTGAGGCAGCAGTGAAGATGACTCTGGGATCACATACACAACCAAAGAACCACACGGACTCTCACTGAGTGTGTGCAGAGACAGATCTGCTTCTATAGACGGACAACAAGAGAGACGGACAGAAATTACTACATGTGGTCTCACTGAAATGACAAAATGTTTGCATGTGAAGAGCTGATCCGACAGGCAAACAGCATCTCACCTGCAGCAGTGGGCTGGTTCAGGGAGTCCTCCTCCATGACTGTAGCTGTGCGGTACCTTGTCTCATACCTGTACCTCAAAGCTGTATCCTCTGGAAACAAATTAATTTGAGACGAAAAAAATGAACTTGCAGTCGTCATATTATATCTTCATCTAAGATCACAAACAGCATTAATAAATCACCATCTACTCTGTGCTCCTCATCCTGTGCCTGTGTCAGCGGGACCTTCTTCTGCTGTTCTGGTGTCACAGTGCCACGGGCAAACACAACCTCCACATCACCACTCAAATGTAGCTACAAAAAAAGAAGAAAAAGAAATAAAGAGACAGACGTTTCTGAAAGGGTACAGGAGTTTTACACATGGAAGATGATTGGCCACAAAATGAGGGATTAATTAATTGAGGCACAAACAAACCTGCAGCTTAGCTAACTCGTTTATCTGACTGACAGGCAACCACGCGCGGTACGTTTCAGTTGTTCGCCACCACAGAGGGACTCCCACAATGATGACCACCGCTGCTATGGACAGAGCAGCAAGCTGGCCTCGTCTACGCTCTGAGAGACACACAAATACAGGCAGAAAAATGAGAATAATATGAACAGGGTTGCATCTAATGATTATTGTCATTAGTGATTAATATAAACTTTCTTGATTAATCATTCAAACTTCCCAGAGCAGAGAGAAGTGCTGTTCTGACAAACTGCTTGGTTTTGTTCAGCTAACAGTCCAAAACCAAAACATATTTAATTTACTATCATACACTCACTGAGCACTTTATTAGGAACACCTATACACCTGCTTTTTCATGTAATTGTCCAAGCAGCCGATCATATGGCAGCAGTGCAATGATTAAAATCATGCAGATACAGGTCAGAAGCTTCGGTTAATGTTCACATAAACATCAGAACAGGGAAAAAATGTGATCTCTGTGACTTTGAGTGCAGCATGATTGTTGGTGCCAGACACACTGGTTTGAGTATTTCTGAAACTGCTGATCTCCTGGGATTTTCACGCACAACAGTCTCTAGAGTTTAAAAAACTGAAAATATCCAGTGAGCAGCAGCTCTGTGGACCCATTGTTGATGAGAGAGGTCACAGGGGACTGGCCAGATTGGTTGGGGCTGACAGATTTTTTGCAAATCAATGAGCAGGACTGTTTGATGGCAATAATGGATTTGTAAATGTTCATTGCAATAATGTCACAAATACCGTGATTTGTCACTAGATTAGGAAAGAAAGTTATTTTACACAGTGTAAAAGTTACTGAATCATCATCACATCTAGATAGTTAGATAGACACATACTTTATTTATCCCCTAGGGGAAATTCATATTTTATATATATATCATATATTGACATTACAAATACATATGCCATGACAGATGATTTTATCCAAATTGTTTGCCCTCAATGAAACCTCAACGGACACGACTGTTTTAATGTTTAGCTCAATCTCTTTATTCCATGAGACTGAGCTGGATGCTGCACTTATTATAACACGTATGACACTAAAGACTTTTTTAAGTTTTACGATGTAAACATGTAAAGTCTTATAGAGAAAACAATAATTGGTCAACGTACGGGAAATGGCTGCAAGACCTGGTTTAGTTTTAAACCTTTAAATACAGTTTCTCTCTGCCTTGGGGTAATTTATTAACTTTAATATTGTAGTTAATTATGGAGTAAAATATAAATAATGAAAACAAAGCACATGAAGTGGCAAACACCTGCAGGTTTGCTTGCAGTGTCTTCAGTGGCAATAGGAGGGGCATCACTGCTGCAGCTGCTTGTGTGGCTAGTTAGCAGTTAGCTTCAGAGTGTCATAACATGGAGAAAACAGCCGCCACATACCAGGGTCGTTACGACTGTTGTAAGTGTTTAATACGCTCCAACAAACTGCTGTGAGCTGGTGTAACTCCTGCCTCTTTGTAAAAAGGAAACAATGTACACAGAATTCAGTTATGAATCTACTCACCTACTTCCGTGGTAGCCATTTCAGTCAATGAACTGGATGTGGTGCGTTTGTTAATGCAGCACAGCCAGTTGTAAGTCACATGACCTACATTAAAAAAACGCGTGACTGTTAAAATAAAAATAAGTCGTAATCCATATATGTGGCTACAATTAGACGAACATTATTATAAATCAGTCTGTCCGTCCCAAACCCGAGAAGACAAGACGGTATATGTTGTTTTGAGACAATAACCTTTGGCTCACCCGGTGAGAATATTAAACGCACAAACACAATGTGAAGACATTCCCTCAACCAGCGCCCCTTGTGGTGGCCTCAGCCTCTGGTAAAATTAACATTATTTACATTAAGCTAAAGAGCTTTTAATGGAAAAAATATAAATGCACGAATAGAGTTTTAAAAAAGTAAATAGAAACACGCAAGCCAAAACTAACACAATGTCACATTATCAAGACTACATACACGGGGTTTAGTGGTGATATTAGCCTGCATTATATAGAGCAGTGTTTCTATTAATTTGTCCACCTTGTTTGCATATGTGAAGGAGCAAAAATGTAACAAGCACCTTACAACACAGGGTAATTCAAGACAAAGCCACAAAATTCTGCCTCAAAAGGAAGGCCTGCTACTGAGTTGAATCAACACGACAATATCATCAGGCCTTTATCACAGCAGACATTTAGACCTGTCATAGAAGGAAGAGCATGTGTTACTTATTATTACATTATTAATGGCTCTGTTCTATTCAAGTGACATGAAGTTGTGAAGTTGTGAAAGTGAGGTTGTAAGATTTTGCTGGCTTGTATTAGCGTACTGCTTGTGAAGGCTTTTCGATTATTCACCACTTTAGCTTTACTTAAATAGCTTCACCACATTAGCTTTAGCTAAATAGCTTTACCACTTTAGCTAAATAGCTTAAAAACTATAGCTATATATGTTGTAACCCAATGTATTTAAATCATTAAAGTAGCAGTACCACACTATAAAAATACTCCATAAGTAAAATTTCAATGCTTTCAAATTTATTTTTATTTAAGCAAAAGTATAGATATATTACCAGCATAATGTACTGGCTACTCCTTATCCAGAATGGCCTTGGTCAGTGTTATATTAGTATGTTACTCTATTGTTATCATAGATGTATGTAAGTAGCTCAGTGAACTGGAAGCTCTACTCTGTTTCTGGGCAGCTCCTGAGCATCCAGGAGCTGTTTCCTGGCAGCTCCTGAGCATCCAGGAAACCGGGGTGGCAAAGTGATAGCCCATTACACCCCATTACACCCCATTACAATTAAAAGCCCTGCATTTAAAATCCCACAGAAGCACACAAGCAAAACTTGCAGTATCAAAGTATGTGTTCGACAGAACATTAATACTTGTGGCTGATGTATAAGATTATATATGACAATATCAAACTGTTAGTACTGATGCATCAATGCTTAAGTATTTCACTGTTGTAGTAGGTTGGGGTGGAGCTCATCTTAACTACTTCATATACAATTAAGCAATTTAGTCCAGTGGTTCCTAACCTGTGGGTCGTAACCCTCCAAAGGATCACAAGATAAATCTTAGGGGTGAGATGATTAATAGGAGAGGAAAGAATATCCTAAATTCTCACAAAAAATTTGGACTAATTTCTGGACTATTCTATAATCTTTGCTTTTATAAATAAAGAACAATTTTATATGTCTTGGTCTGAAACAGTTATTTTGGTCTTAAAGAGTTTTTTGAATGAAACCTTCACAGATTTTTCAGAACGAATGCGTCTTGGGTAGAAGTGCTAACAGCTCACAGACATCTGAAACACAACAAGGGGCCTAAACAGACATTTTCTTTCTTTTTTTTTTTGGTAAAGGGCTCAAATCAAAAAGGCTGGCAACCAGTCAATGCTTTAAAAAATACACTGTATTCAAACATAGCTGAAATGTGGTGGAGGAGAAGATGTGAGTAGCATTAAAAAAGGAAATACTCCAATACTCAATTTATTACTTGAGTCAATTACTTTCCACCACTGACTGAAACTGTAGCTGGGCTTACATCACTGTATAATATGGTCCCACTGCAGTATAAAATTGCATCCAAAAGACACCATAAGCGTAGGAGGTAGAACATCACACAAAGAGATCCCTGCTACTTTTTTTAAAGTTTATTTTAGTTTATTTTTCTCCACTATTTGACACACCAAGTGCTTCAAGAACAATATTAACATCACAAACGTCACAGTATTCCAACACAGCAGTGACTGTTTCCCCCCGCCGCTAACCCCACGAATTGGTCCACTTTTTGGGTACGTCAATGGAAATCATCTTGTCTTCCCGTGGGGCGGGCTGGGGGAATCAGGAGTGGCCATGACACACAAGCATCACATAATATCGACACCTTCACACAACTGAATACATTAATTACTGTATGTAATTTAAAGCTAATGTTATACTTAGAATAGACAAGATGACAAGACGAGACGTTCCTCTGATTAGTGGTGATTAGAAGTGTGAGAACAGAAAGGTTAGGATGAATCATTAGGATGAATCCTGGTGTATAATGGTTTGTTAAAGTGTGCCTCTCTGCTGGAGCTACAGCTGTCTGAAAGTACAACCAGCACTCCACACTTGTGGACAGTCGCTCGAAAGATCAACTCGGTCTGAAAAGTCTTCACACGGTTTGTCTTTTCGTCTTGTCCCATGTACTGATGCCACTAATAATCAGTTGGTCCCACTGTCAGGGAGGGTGTTTTTAGGATGAGCCAACACTTTGCTCTGACAGAAGCGAAACACAGATACACACAAGCTGATCTGCCCTGCTTGGGAGTGGCTAAAGATTTGCCATGTGGGGGATAAATGGAGAAAGTACCGAGTGTGGAGACAGGTGCGGTTAAGGTGAGGCATGAATTGAATACTGACTGATTATCTTGATCCTGCTCATTTCTGAGCTCAATAACTGTTACAAACAGACAGCTTGACATGGAATAAAAGAGTTGTCCACTTCCATAAATTGTTTCAAAAGTGTTTGATCAATTAGATAAAAAAAATCCAAGACTGTTCCCTTTAGTATTTCGTGTTATGTTTTTAAATACACATATCTAATTATGTTATTTTAAATAACTAGACAACTCTAAAGTACAGTAGACAGCGCAGGCCTGTGATTGATGGATGCGTGAGGGGGAATAGCAGAGCAGATATAAGACTATAACTAGGCCACAACAGTATGTGGTGGTTTGATGTTTAGTAGGCGTGATTAGCCACGTAGAGAGATTTTCCTGCGGCGCCAGCAGTTCCAGAAGACTCGTACTTGCCGAGTGCAGCCTGGCTGTTTGCCTGAAGAAGACAAAAGCAGAAAAAAAAGAATAATTAAGAATATTGCACGAAGGAAGTTTCAGTTTCAGACTCCTTTTACTCTGCGAGGATTTGATCTGATGCCCGTTGACGGTTTTTGTCTGACCTCAGCACGTTTGATGAACTCCTCGGTTGCAGCCTTCTCGTTGTTCAGCTCTCCTCTCCACGCGTTCAGGGCAGAGGCCTGCAGGGCACGGCCGTAGGAGAAAGTCAGGGCCCAGGGCCTGGCGAGTGAACAGTTGTTCATGGCATTGAGGTTCACGCTGGCCTCCTCTTCGGACTGGCCGCCTGACAAGAAGGTCACTCCTGAGAAAAAAGACAGAAAACTGCTCAAACCAGATTTCAATAAAACATTTAAGTGTTTCAACTCTCTCTATCAGAGTGTGAACTCATGTGGCAGTATATTGCAATACATATATTATTGCAATACATGCATGCATATGTGGTGATGCTGCATTTTATGGGTAATTTTCCAGAAAATAACGGTAATTTGGCACTATTTATAGGTAAACTAGAGGCAGCATTCAATTGTTACACTTTGAATTAATTAACTAAATAAATGCTAAGCTAACACAGTTGACAAGTCCTTTAGTCAGAGCACAACATGTCAGCTTATCATGCAAAAACAACATTCTCAAAACTTTGTCTCTAATTCACCTAAAATTAGCATAACATTCCAAAAATATTACCATTAAATACATTATAATACTGTAGCATTATGCATTTTAAATAGTGATTTAGTAGTTTTCAGGCATATATTGTTCCTTGTGTCAAAATGTATTACCACAGACTGGAGATCTGGCTTAATATAAGACATCTTTACACTTACATGGCATACAAGTAGATGATGTGTAAAAAGTCTCAGACTTTTGAGAATCAATAGAAATTATTACACACTTTAATCCTAGTTGTCTATAAATTTGGTAAATCTTGAAAACTTTGCTATTTCACATATCACTGCCTCTGACCTGGGACAGCAGGAGGCACAGTGCGGCGCAGAGCAGTGACAGTAGCCATGGCGATTTCCTCGCCGCTGTACTTGGTGGGGCAGGAGTGTCCGGCTGTGACCATGTTGGGTTTCAGCAGTGTCCCTTCCAGGTACACATGGTGGTCTGACAGAGCCTTGTAACATGCAGCTAGGACCTAGCAGCAGAAGAAAAACATATATACGGAAAGTCAAAAGACAGTGACAGCATATATGTAGCAAATTAAACATTCTACAAGACATATACAGTGGTTTGTGTTATATATATTTATATATTCCTCAGCAAATTACCTTCTCGGTGACATACTGGCAACGTTTCAGGTCATGGTCTCCATCAGGAAGGATCTCGGGCTCCACAATAGGAACAATACCATTCTAGGATACATTACAAAGTATAAGTTTAAAGCAACTTAAAGGGGATCGCTTTAAAAAACTGAGCTAATATATCTTTAACCAAACTAAATGACATGGTATGTAATCTCACACCAACCTGCTGGCAAATGCTAGCATATCGTGCCAGCACATTAGCATTCTCAAAGATGGCCAGCTCAGACGGCGTGGTGTCGCTGATCTTCAGCACACAGCGCCACTTGGCGAAGTCTGCACCGTCCTTCTTGTACTGCGCACAGCGCTCAGACAGCCCATCCAGACCTACGGTCCCATACGTGACACAGAACCGTCAATCAGAAACACAGCAGCAGGGGGGGGGTTTATAATGTGTGAGGTTTTGAGAATATGTTCCTAATGCTTCCTACCCTGAGTGGTGGTCTCTCCGTTCGTTCCAGCGAGGGGCACGACACCTTTGTCCACCTGTAGAGACAGAAACAGAAATTGTAAATAATGTTGTCAATGTGATACAAAATCCCATTAAATTTGACTCTTACGACTCAATACAACTTTCCTGAACACAGGACCTGAAAACTCTTTCACCCAGTTTGTTCTCACAACCTGATCTGCTGTTGTGGGGTGGGTCTGTGTGTATCTAAACATGCTGACAGTGAGTCTGTGTTTTCACATACAGTGTAGGAGCCTTTCCAGTTTTTACAGATGAGCACTGTCCTTTTTGCCCACTGAACTGAAAACACTTGGCTGTAGTATAATATCAACACTGTGGATGTGGGGACATTCAGAGCCAAAGCAAACAGCTACCAAATAAGGCAGAGAATCCCAGACTCAAGTTTTTATGTTTAAGGAGACTGAGGTCGAGAACGACACACCATGTAAAAAAAAACAAAAAAACAGCCAATTGCTGGTTGATGAGATGGAAGGTTTTTGTCTTCAGTAAGATGAAGACGCTTATGTAAACAGACTACAAGACTGGAAACCCACTATTTCTCAACTGAGGAGGTCTACTCTTTAGTTGCAACTTGAAGAATTGTTTACCTTGATGCCAACGACAATGCCGCGGTCTTTGATGAGCTTGGAGAAGGAAGTGCCATCGTCTGTGTTCTGGTAGAGGGTTTCATGGAAGAAGATGACCCCTCCGATACAGCTGTCGATGCGCTGGTCGGCTGTGAAGAGCAGCTGGCGGTAGCGGCGCCTGTTCTCCTCTGTGTTCTCAACCCCGATGGGGTTCAAGCGCTTTGCCATGCTGCCTGCAAACAGCACGCGCACATAATTAATTCATACATGCTCAAATGAAGACAGACCTCATTCACGTGTACATAACTACACAGTTAATTCATCAGGCTTTGACACATCTTCCATTTTTTAGAATAAAAAGGCTATTTATTCAGGTGTAAATGTTTTTCAGTGTGTAATGCATGAGACCATAAAATACAATTTAAACGTCCAGGTTTTGTTCAGGTCAAAAACCTACACAAGTATGAAATCACTGAGTCAACTGAAGTGGATGGTACATGAAATGGATTTTCAAATTACTTCAGTCGAATCTACTCCCAGTTTTATTGTGATTCTGTGAGACCAATATTTAATTAAGCCTGTATGTATGCAACAGGGTAGTTTTCCTAAATCCTGACATATCTTGCTTTATGAGTGCTATGTAAAAGGTTTGGTGCAACGGGATCATAAAGATTATAATGATTTGCCAGGTTTCAAAATGATTAACATGACAGATAATCCTGTATTGATAATCCAGTATTGGGATCCTGCTGTATCTGACAGCAGGGCAGATTCTGCCATCTATCATTTTGATTCTCTAGCATGTGCAACTTCTTTTTGCGACCACACACACACACATATACACACATACACACGCATGCACATACCGGTGGACTCATCGGCTGCAAGGATGCCTTTGCCTGGAGCTACTATCCTCTGAGCGATGTCCTGCAGCTCCTTCTTCTGCTCGGGAGTCAGTGCGGGATACTGGTGAGTCATGTTGGCTGAAAGAGAAAGAGAGAGAGGCATGGAGAGGTCAGATTGTTTTCTGTTGTGTCGCCCTGGACGACTGCCCAGCACGGGGCCTCATTTAATGTCCCTCTATTCTCTACAGCATGGCTACCTCACTGCAGAACGGAGTTCCTCTCAGTGAGCGCAGGAAGATGGGTGAAAATGACAAAACTGTGTGTGTGAAATGTGATAAAACAAACGACCGTGAGCAGAAGAAAAAAAAAAAGAAAGAAAGTAGATGTAGCTGCTATGTAGACTCCAAATAAATCTTCCTCATTGGCATTTGAGGTTGAATATGACTGTGTTAAAAAAAACAAAAAACAAATGGCTCTTTAATATGCTGTATGTTCTCAGTCATACAGAAACTGTTTAGTGGCAGCACACAAACACGCTACAGACCAGATTATGTTGTTCCCTATTCCCTTCTTCACTCTGCCGTAAATAAGCAGTTACATAAACCCTCCCCTCCCCTCCCCCCTCTGAAGCGCAGAATACAGAGAGGGAGCGGTTATGTAACCACGCTCCTGTATATTCTGCTGCCAGTCCTCATTATAGCTGCAGGACTGGATGCATCACGGCTTGTTTCTCTCTCCTCAGCAACACTCTGCCTTCTCCTGGTTTCCGCTAATGTCATTATATCCCTCTTTGTGCAATGCACGTACAACTGCCCTTTATTTCTTTGCCTTGATTAAGACATGACTTGCTTCCGGGTTTTTAGCACCCCATTTAGCTTCCTTCAAACCTGCTGTGCTGCTGCCTGATGTCTGCTGCCTATGAATGATACACACTAGATGCATATAAGATGAACACATATGGGATTTGTAAAGTCCCATTTTCCCGACATCCCTAAAATGCATTGCTCCCACTAATACAGACTGTGCCAGGGAACAAGCTGTGACTTCTCTTTCCTGTCAACTACATCAGTTGCCAAGCCGCCCCCAGCTCACAGCGACACTGTTATAGCTTTGTTCGACATCACAAGTTCTCCGGCACATGCCACAGTATTGGATCAGCTGTAGACGACCCTGTTTGATGGATGGAGGCTGCCCCTTTAGTGACAAATGCAGAGGTTAGCTCCAGTCAGCTGTGTATGGAGGTGTTCGATGCACTGAGATTTGCTGCCCGAAATGAAAGAGAACCGGACACAAACAGCTATAGTTCACATGAATGTTCAACCACAGTGAATGCAGACAACTAATTTAGTCTAGACTAAGACTAAACTACCATTTTAGGCTGAAAAGCTTTGTCTGGTTTATTGCTTGCAAAGAAGAAATCTTAGTACAAGGCTAAAAAGAATTGTTAACACAACCCACATCAACTTTCATCTGAACCATGCAAAAGAAAAAACAGGTTTATTAGATAACAAGTGGCTATAGAGTATGGGCCATGAGTGTTAACCTATTCAGATACTAATTTACATTCTTTTACATAATAAACTCATGTGACCGCTTAATTCCCAACTGAGGCTAGTTTGTTGTAGGAGGACACTGCCTGACATACCCTATATCCTCTATGTTAATCCTCAGCTTAAAGCTATGAGATAACAACCTTTAGAGCGCACGCACACACACAAAGGCCTCTCCATGAAAACAGTGTGTAGTTACCACAACACAAATGTCAAACACAGCTCACTGCTGAAAGTTAAATTCTACATGCAGGTGAAATTAAAGAGGCCAGGCCCGCAGGGTACAAAACCTCCCCTGAGGGGGAAAAGTTAGACCAGGGGTATAATCTGTGTGCAGACCTCTCCAGTGAATAAAACAAAGTATTTACACTTGATAGAGGCCAGCCCAAGGGTGCCAGCATTATGTGTGGGACTTGAGCATGTTTGCATGTGCACAGCCCTGCTCCACTGTTAGCCAGACAAAGCTCATGCTCAGCAAATATCTGTTATCTTTTGTGAAGCACCTGCGTGCTTCATCAATACATTTTCACTGACTTTGGGCCCAGTCGGTTTCTGTTGGGAAAACATTGCAAAATAATTTGCAAGGCAATGCAAAGTTTAAATTCAATGCCATATTGAGTCAAACAACTGGATATCGAGCTGAACAACCCAATGAAGCCATGAATAGTTTCTTTTTTTAAATCATCTGCAGGTATGAAAAGAGGACATTGAAGGACAAAGTGTGCGCATGTGACCTGCCTCTGACATATGATCAGCCCAGAGCCGGTTTGGTGGCAACACACTGTTGAGCAGGTACGCTGTAAAAAACATACACACTTAGGCAATGCACCTTTATACCTCTGAAGTATTCTGTCATTTGGTAGGTGTGTGATAAACAGCCAAACAAGATGACGGAACCAAAACTGTGATGTCGTGGCAGCTATTACGGACAGCTATTTAAAACACCAATGATCACACGAGATCAAATCCACCACAGAAGAAGCAGCATCACCTCTGTCAATCCAGACAATAAGCCTCAACACTTTGCGCTTTGCAGGTAGAAGAGATGTCGTATTTGTCACTACTAGTGATGTAAGTTTTTCGCTGTTGTTTTACCAAAATGCAGGTGAAACCGGTCTATAGGACAAGTCTGGTTCTCTTACTGCGAACATAATATGTTTTTGTATACACAGAATAACAGTTCTGTATGTCTATGCTACAAATTTAAAGCTTTCTGATCTGAAATTCTGTCAGGTGTGTACACTGTCTGGCCTGACTCATATCCCTACTTGGTCTCAGCCTGATTATTATATTTTTCAAACAAATGTGCCAGAGGACATCTCAGAGTTGCTGAGTGTTAGACTTTCTGGTCACGAGCTATCCACAAACCCAGGAGACAGTAACATCTGTGTTTTCTATTTTAGTGTCTGCTCCTTATTATGTCTCCAGGAGAAGCTTTTCCTCCATGGGGACCTTAAGAACAAAAACAACATGAAACTCCAGGTTATGCCACACACTCAATAATTATCACCTGCTTCATGCCCTAGCACCACAGATGTGATAAACTAGAAACAAGGGAGTCGTTTGTTAGTGTAAACAATATGGAAGATTTAAATCAAGCGAGATTGAGAAAGATACTGTCTGGCCAGCTCCTGTCTTCAATGATTTGTGTATTCTGCACTACACTTCATTTCCTCAATTTATCTACAAAGAGGAGAAGCTTCAGTGCTTGCCCTGGTTTGATGTGTGGAAAACATAAAATTAACCATAATTTATCAAAAGGCCACTCCAGGCTGTGGACAGCTTTGAGAGGCCTGCTGGGAACCATGAAACTGTCTGGTCACGAACTTTCATTCGTTTGATTGAATAAATGTACAGACAGATGGAAAACAGCACTGACACGTTCACCCAGTCTGATCACAGAGTTTGATTTCCCTCCTGTCTGGTTCAGGAGGACGATCAGCTGATCTATTCAAAGTCCTGATGAAAGGCGTCAATGAAGCAGACCCTCTGACCCTCTGACATGTCCTCAAAGACCAATGTTATTTACAGTTTTCCCAATACAAAAGTCTGAATAAAAGCAAAAATGCTACAAACTGCAACTGACTGTGTTTGAGTTAACTCATTTCAGTTATTTAGATAATATTATGTCCACAAATTAAAGAAAAAAAAATCACACTGGATTTATAATTTGAGCTTGAAAAGTTCAGTTGTTTTTATAGATGAATATTGTGAACGCTAACCCTAACCTTGATGAAGCTCTGCTAATGTCAAAGGAATCTATTTTTAGGAAATATAATATTAGGTTTAATTACTTTCGGGGAAATCGAACAGTGGCGCAGCAAAGGCCACATATTTGATGAGTGAGATGACTGTTTAAACCATCATGTTGCAACTACATTGATAAAGAGATGAGATGCTCCAGCAGCGCTTACCACTTCTGCTCACCAACTATCTGTGGGGGAAACCCTGAAGTCAAGTTGATTTCATGTTCTGGTATGTTATATAATTCAGTGCAAGTTAGGTTGGTAAAAACAGTTAAAAATATTGATTAAATGTTGCTTTGGTTAAATCATTATTTTTTGAATGAATGAATGTACATCCCATAATTACTGTTAACAGACTGAAATGCACTTAGGTGAAATAAACAGGCGTCATCACTGGCAGATCCTGGAAATCAATTATTATCCTATACTATAGTAGGCTAATGTGATATACAATGCAAGTTACACAAACTTTAACCTTGTTTTTGTAGCCCATTAACGTCTTGTTATCTATGAGGGAATTTCTGTTTCTGCTTTCTCCAGGGCAAAAAAAAAAATCTTCCTTATCCACAAAAATGCCCTCTGGTGCAAAAATGTCACTTTGACATGATTTGAGATAGCAATCTTCTAATGCACATGCACACACACACAACACACACACTCACACCACTGCTGGCGACAAAGTGTACTGGGGTTACCTTGTGCTTTGAAATGCACTCCATGATGACAGGCATTATATTTTAAGGGTGGTCATTAAAAAAAAAAAAAAATCAATAAATTAATATAATAATTTCCATGAAAATCAGGATGTTTTAACAAGATGACGTCTGAGATTTGTGAAAGCTATGATAGAGAGACAGCTGAGATTATTGTTTAGCCGTCTTAACCTTCTCTCCCTCATCTCTGTGATTTTCATTCCAGCCTGTTGCACAGTGGTCGACCTCAACAAGACAAATACCATTTCTGCACTGCGACATCAAGATGCAACGGCCAACTCCCTACTGTGGCGTCACACAGAACGCCTTAAGACTGTGATCACTGTAATACTGTCATTGAACATCAGTCTTATGCAGCCAGCAGTAATCACACTGCAGACCAGACTCACAGACATGCATTCAGAGGGATAAAATGACATGAATTCACATTTAAATTCCCATTTTCACCATCCATAGACACAAGTATGATACAACAATTTAACTTAAGTTTAATAAGACCCTAGTTAAGACAAATCAGAGGAATTAATACACATGTATTCCCAGTCTGAAACTCATTTTCAGCTCAGCCACCATGTATCTGATGCTTCTGTCTACTTTAAGCTTTCACCTTAGAAAGGACAGGGTCAGACCAGACCAGACTGCTGCTGCTCGGGCTCACTTACCTGCCCAGGATGCAGTTAAGAAATCACAAATACATAAACATCAGACTCAGTCCAGAGTGGACATCTACTGTGCATCTCTAGCAATCGTGCTGCAGCTGGTCTTTTTTGAAGCATCGGTGCAAGCATTAAACTACAAGACGTTTGAAGCTTGCAAACTATACTGCGTAGTATTCATACAGCTGCAGGCAGGGACTCAGTGGGGGTTAACTGAGTATATCTACCTAAACTCAGGCTGGCATTGCAGTTATAACAATTACTGATAGTTAATATCATATAGTATAGTAGGCATGTAAGGAGAGGATAGGGGATCGTCTGTATCATCACCTCCACATAAAAAGTTACCCACCTTGTTATTGTCTCTACATTGCAAGCTGCATGAGCTTTAAGGAGGTGAAATGGCTCCTTGGGGGGGGGGCAGCACTATTCAAAAGTAAAAAGCCTGCTTGCTGTGCTGCGTTTTGTTACCAGACGGGCTGCTGGCCTTGGCAATGATGCACGTCCCTGTGTTTGGGCTGTTTCTATCTTCAGGCCTTGATCCAGCAGCGCTAGCAGGAGCACTGTTTCCCATGCAGCTCTCTGATACAAGAGCCGATGGCAGACGTCACAGCTGTGTGCATTGCAGTTCAGAGAGAGGTTGATACTGGTGGTGAGAATGTGCAGATTACACGAAGTGACGTTTCTCTCTCAAACGCCGCTAAACTAAACTCTATTTTTTTCAGTTTCAGTTTGTATTTTAATACACTTTTCATTTCCATGGAGAGAAAACAGATGATAAATGTTAAAGAAACAACAAAGACGAAGATGTGATTACGACACAATCTGTTGAGACCTAACTGAAAACTATCCGCAATTAACATTATGCTAAATCAAAATGTTCTGTACCCTACGTTCTAGTGTTGTGCTACTGAGCTTTACACCAAGTCTGACTGTGTTGTATTTGTGTTGTGTGTACAAATAGCTAATACACAAATAGGTGTATATGACGCCCCATATATATTATTGATATACACTACACATATCTACATATACTCTAGAGCTGAAACAGGAAGTCAATTAATCAATTAGATGATCGACAGAAAAATTTATAGAAACTGATATCCAGTTGATCTTTTAAACATAAATGCCTCCAGCCTCTCAGATGTGAATATTTTCTGTGTTTTTTTTGCCTTCTTCGATGGCGAACTGAGTATCTTTGGGATTTGGACTTTTTTCACTTCTTTTCTGACATTTTGCATCCAAAAAACAATTCATCAAGAAGATTAATGTCAGTGATAATAATAGTTTGTTGCAGCTCTCATATATACTCTTATTTTTTAGGTCTGGAACTAACTATAATCTCCATTATTGATTATTATGCAGATATTTTTCTAGACTCGTTTATTAACTGTTTAATCTATAAAATGTCAGAAAACATCAGTCAGTCGAAGCTGAGGAACTTCAATTGCTTATTTTTCTGATATTTAGTTATAGTAATAGAAGACTAAAAAACTGAGCAAATATTGACAGGAGAAGCTGAAACAAAAGAATTTGTTGTTGTTTTTTTTTGCTTACAAATGATTTAAAAATGACGGGATGAATCAGAATCGTTGCTCATTGATTAATAGACTAATCATTTCAGCTCTACAGTGAAAACTAAACTTAATCAAATATCTTTAAATGCTTGTACAAATATGTGCTGCAGCTCCATATATATTTCTTTGAATGAATTACACATACACTATGGTTCAGAAGCTCTTGACCACTAATGGGAATTATGTACATCCTCCTCCCATCACAGCAGAGGAGGTCTACGTGCTCTGGCACAGATACACACTGACAGGCCACCGCCGCCCTCCCTCCTCACCCACCACTGCTGCCCTCTGGATTAAAAACCACGATTTATTTTACAGTTAAAACATATAAAACAGGAGGGTTTGTCGTGTATTTTTAAGAGAGAGAGAGAGAGAGAGAGCAGACGCAACAGGCTCCTCTTTGAAGGTCATTTTTTCTACGCTCTTCCTGTTGCGTATTTCGATGATGTGCTGAAATGCGCAACACTAAAACAAGATATGAAGAGTTGTAATAATTTTCTGTCAAAGGAGATGACGCCATTTAGTGGCACACGGTCTCAGTATAGCTATTAATTCACGAGTAACAAGCGAGGAAGATGAAGTTAGGTTTAGGTGGTGCAGAACATCATCATCATCATCATCATTATCATTATTAACATCATCTGTCCAAAATCCGTAACAGATGGAGAGTGTGTGCAGCTGTCGTGTTGATCAGATGAGTGTTGTTCTTACCTGCTGATGGGTGTCTGAGCGTAGAGAGCAGGTGAACCGTGTGCGGAGGATGCGGAACAGTCTCCTGTGTCACTGCTGCAGCGCAACGTGACCCTTTACAAGAGCCTGGAGACTGGGCGGAGCTCACGCCACTGCGTCACGTGACGCGACGACGCTGAAGTGCTAATGCACATGCGCCGGACAACGTCACAGCCGTTAGACAAGAGCACGAGTACTGACTTTTCAGTCATTTTATGGTGGCAGAAGGACCTTACATTGACCACCTGCATTTCTTTTGAAGGGCATCAATATAAAACAAAGTCAAACAAAATTACTCTGAGAGACAAAGTTTTGTATTCTTAATAAAGTAAATATATGTGGATGTAGCTAAGTCTTGTTCTTTTTGAGGTTCTGATGAAGCATCTTTCCATTTATTTTTTCACTGCCAATGTTACTCATTGTTACAGATGTTATTTGTTGCTACGGCAATGTTGTCAACTTTTTATGTTTTATTTGCAAAATTCTTTATACATAAATGGAAGTTTTTAGGTTCCCAACCCTCTTTCCCTGTTTCCCCCTTGATTTTAAATGAAATACTTTTACCCTCCATTCCTTTAAGATTTTGTATTTATTTATTTATTCTTAACTTTTAACTCATATCACATGCATTTTGTCTCTCATTTCATAGATAAGTTTGTGGAAAACCCTTGTTTTCTCAACCTGAAGCTTAATGAAACCCCCCCCCCCCAAAAAAAACCTGATAGATTATCAGTGCCACACCTCAAACTAGACAGCCTCAAAACTATGTGGTAATGACAGGATTTTTATATGACAGATTTCCTGTTTTTTTCTGAGAGAGATCAGAGGCCCCAGGCAAAAGAAATAATCACCCAGATATTTATAGATGCTTGATCCCTTTTGGAAGTGCATGGGCCAAATAACGTATGATGATACTGAGTTTTACTGTTTATGTTTTACTCTCTCTTCTTTGGAGAAAAGCTTATAAGTATAAGACTGATAAATACTGCCTGATAATGTTAAGTACAACACAAACTTAACTAAACGTGAAGTCAAGTAATGATGATACTAATGATTGATTTTCAACATATCACTGACGTGTTGAAACTAGTTCAGAATTCCTTCTCTCTGTCGCTCTTTCTTCAAGCAGTCAAATGCAGATAAAATCAGCAGATCACTGTAAGAGTTTAATATTCCATCTGTGCTACATGTAAATTACAAAAATACATCATAACATAACATATAACATCAAATAGCATCCAAAATATTCATATAAACTTTGTAAAGAGGAATTTATAAATAAGCATTTTCTGACAAAAAAAAAAGCAAGCTCAGGATCACATGTTTGAGGCATTCTGGGTACACATCAGGGCATACTTTACAAAATCATAATATAATCTGATGATCAGGAAAGTGCTTGAAGGTGTGATTACTGGCTAGGGTTACGGCAACCTTGGACAATAGAAAAAGCCCTGTATCTATCAAAATGTTAACTGGGGATAAACAACAGTGTTGTTCAATCGACCCTCACAGTCCCAGCTCACATCTGTACAGCTGTCCTGGAATCAAAATCAAGGCTGACTTGGGAAAACCAGTGATTGCTCCCCTGAGTCGCAGGTTATAAATGATAAAGTAGACGTTGAAGGTGTACACATCTTGATCTGATGTTGTGATGCTTGCATGATTTTTACATAGTGCAGGAGGAGAGGTGTTTCTGCTGCAGCAGAATTTAGGCAGTTTGGGAAAGGTCGTATCAGAGCATGAAAAAAGGTAGAGAATGTATTTTAAAATAAAGATCATAGCATAATCTTATTGCTTGCTTCAACAGCATGAGGAAATGAGTTTCTTCTGTCTACTTTGTTGCATGATTTTCATAATCATGTAACATGAAAACAAAGGCAGAAGCTCAGAAATACACTCCCTTTGTGGTTTTGGTTGGATGTCTACTTAACTACATACAACTTGTTGAGAAAAAAAGGGGGAAAAAAAAGGAATTTGGTGCATTGTCTTCAACCAGCATGACTTTTCCATGTGGTGTGAGTTTGATAGCAGTCGTACATTATGTACTAACAGGGCAACCATGACCAGTCACTGGAAAACTGTAGTAGATGGACAATAGTGCAATCTTTCTTGCACAACTGTTGAGCAAATGCAGTAGGCTTGAAAAGGTGCTCATTGGAGCAAGGCAAACAAGTAAAAACAAGAAAAAAATAGCGCTCAGCACATCACAAAAAAAAAAGATAAAACTTGCCAATAAGTGGAAAAGTGGTGTTTTTTACTCAACTAAATCATTCCCTTCTAAACTATAGATCCAATAAAATCATAATCAGCTATTTTGGCTTTTTCTAAATAAGACGTTTTACAAGGCGCACCACACCTGTGTGTAAGGGTGAATAAGTGTGCAGAAGTACATTTATTTAGGCCTTTACCTTTAGCGTGTTAGTAATCATACTGTAAACTCAAAGTACGTCACACAAACACTTCTCTGTGTGGACCTTTTTCCTGAGCAGGCTGCAGTAGGTGTGCCGGGCCTGGCAGTGGTGCAACTGTGTGTGTTTGTGTGTCGACATCCAACTGTGTGTCTGGCGTGGCCGGAGGGCTGAGCAGTGAGTCATAGTCGAAGCCTTTTAGAGGTTGCAGAGACAAAGTGAGTCCTCGTCGAGCTTTGGCGGCTCGGTCCGGTCTCTCTCTCAGCTCCAGAATCACCTGGACGGTGACAATGAGGAAAAAAAAAAAGAAAGAAATCCCTTCACTTTGCTTGCATATTGAACATTTCTTCAACAATCTCGCTCATGTTTGAACTGACTACATCCAGACATTCATCAGTTACCTCCACAGGCTGACGCTGCAGCAGAGTGAGGTCAAAAGTTGTTCCATAGAAGAAGGTTTGGCGTTTGAAACGATCGAGGGTCCGCAGGCGGCGGGAGGGAGTCTTGCATAAAAGCTGGGCAGACAAACAGATGTAGGTTGTCATATGACATCAAACAAGACAAACCTAGATCCTGGTGTATGTAGTCAAATAGTTAGTGTTTTGGAGCAAAATTAGTTCAATTAGTGTAATTACCTCAGTTATTAGCAAGGCAAATGGGGGGCTGAAGCTAAGGGGCATTTCGTAGGGAAACCCCCTTACTTTCCTCAGCATGCAGCAGTGGTCTGGTTCTGGAGGCACAGGGAACTGAGAAGAGTTTGGGGGCACATGAATAAGAATATTCTGGGGTGTTTCCATTTTTATAAATTTGACATGACAAAACATAACAATAGAAAACCCACCTGAGCCCTTTAAATTTAGAGGATTACATTTAAAATGATGTTGTTTTCTCAGAACCTACTCATACACTGGAAAACATACATCAGAAAAATGTGTAAAATGACCTCATGAAACAAGCATCAAATGCATTTTACACTGTCTTCATTTTACAGCAAAATTAAAGCTCAGCCATGTCACTGGAAGAGTAATCGTGAGTAATATCATCAGCTTATCATGCAAGATGTACTGAGCCTGCCGGCAACAAGAGCTCACCTTCCCAGTAACCAATGAGAAAAGCAGAATTCCCAGTGACCACCAATCAGCTGCGTGGTTATAGGGTCCCCCACTCAGCACCTCTGGGGCTGCAGAGCAGACAGAGCATGTTCACAGCACTGGATGTACTCTACATTTGTACATTAACATATTCACTTCTTAGTATAATATATCAAAAATGCAAGTATTAGTCTCTTAATGTGTCCCAGCATCTGAAGCTCTGGCAGGAGTTAGCTACAGAGGTGGATTCACCCTAGTTCTCACCCATATATTGGATTGTTCCACAGATAGTAAAGGCTCGTCCTCCTCTCTCCAGGCGACGGGACAAACCAAAGTCAGCTAAGCGGAGGTGTCCTAGAACAGACCATTTTTTTCCGACATCATTATGAGCATGTGACACAAGGCCCTGAATTCAGATCCCTCTTATTGATACAGTTACAACTGTTATGAAATATTTACATATTCCCGTCATAATCTGATCTCCTTAGAGTATGTAATTGGATACACAGGCTGTTCCCTCTCAGTGCTAACAGATGTACTGTTAGCATTAATGTGCATTGACTGACAGCTGTGCACAGACAGGATGTTCTCTGGAAGGTTCTGTGCTTCTCTTGCACACCAGAGCTCTGCTGCTCTCTGCTGGGGACAAGCTTTTACTCACCGTTGTCTGTCAGCAGGATATTCTCCATCTACACAAAAGTGCCAAAAACACTGAATTAGACACCCATCCATATTCACCACTCAATGAACTCTATTATCTTTATTAAGAAAAAGAATCTTGTGGATGATTTTCCCAAGCCTTGGATTTCTTCATTCATTCATTCATTTTCAACCGCTTATGCTATTAAATTTTAACAGTTTAACATTTTAACAGTGCAAATGAGAAAAGTCAAAAAGAATCAGTAGCCTGTAAGAGCAAACTTTAAGACCAACAACTGCAAATAGCTAATTGGGAAAAACATGTTATGTGCTGTACTTTAACTGTACTGATACATTTCAATAGAATTCTACTTCAATAAAATATAAATGTAGCAAAGATTTTTTAAATGGTAATTAAAACAGGAATTAACAATGTTAATGAATAGATCTACTCTGAAGTGGTTCAAAAATCACAACCTTAAGATCATTGTTTAAAATCTATAAATTGTAAAGCATTCACTCTGCGAGGGTTTTTACTGGGAATTGTGCACAATATTGTTTAGTCAGATAAAAACAGAAATACATTTTTTAAAACATGGTGCGCTGCACAAAGACTGCCGAGTCTGCTGTCCACATGTGGAACATGTAAGTAGGGCAGTTACAGAGAAAACCTGGGAGATGAGGGAAAAAGCCATTTATCAGGATAAACATCAGGCTTGCAGCATTTTCTTTTCTTTCTTCTGCTATCTGGTGCACAATATATTTGACATTTTGCACATAAACATGTTACCTGAAACTATGCAGATGTGTATACGTAATGTTACATCATTGATGTTTTGTGTCTGTCTTAATGAGTTGATGTTAAATTTTTTATGTTTGATACAGAGCTGTGTCGTATAATCTCACGCTGGATGGCCCAGTTTGACACGAAACAAAAAAATACTAACTGATGTTATCTATAATCTTTATTAAATAGAAATACATTTGTTTGAATTTTGTACCATTGAATACTTTGTGCATTTTGGTCCCAAACTTGTGAATTCCCTCCATGTCTTACCTTCACATCTCTGTGGATGATTCCAAAGTCATGCAGAAAGCCTGTGAAAAGAAGAACAATAACATAAAAGTCCATAAACATGTTTCAAATCTATCACTCTGTCTTCCTACTGGCATATTAAAAACCCTGGCACAACCCTGTGTTGTTGCTGTGGGAGATCCTTTGAGAGCTCATCTCATTTTAATTAGGCATCCTTTTATAATTACTTATAATTAAATCATGGAAACTTTCATGTAGACAAGTCTGATCTAATTCGGATTGGAGGAGAAAGGTGAGGTGTGTAATACAGTGGCAAGCAGAACGATGTGAACTCTTTGGAATTACTTGGTTTGCTGCATTAAATGTGATCTGATCTTCATCTAAGTCACAAGCAAATATCATACAAGTATTTATAACCGCTTTTGTGTTTATTGAACACAGCCATGAAACATTCACAGTGCTGGTGGAAAAAGTGAACCCTTGGATTTAATACCTGGTTGAACCTCCTATGGCACCAATAACCTCAAACCAGCTCTTCCAGTAGCTGCTGATCAGAGCTGAGTTCAGGAGGAATTCTGGCCCATTCTTCCAACAGAGCTGCTTCAGCTCAGCCTCATCTCAGGATGTTTGGTGTGAATCCTTGATACCTTGATAAACCTGGGAATTCATTTTCCCCTCAATGATGTGGAGCTGTCCAGACCCAGAGGCAGCAAAGGCCCAAATCATGATGCTCCCTCCACCGTACTTCACCTTTGGGATAATGTTTTCATGTTGGTATGCAGTTCCCATTTTACACTATACATAGTGCTGCATGTTCTTCCCAACCAATTCAACCTGAGTTCCATCAGAGTGTGATGGTGCTTCTTTGGTAAACTTCAAGTGCATAGCCATGTTTTTTTGAAGAGCAATGGCATGATTTGATCATTCTACTTTATGCCTTTGGAGTCATCTTAGCTGGACGTCCACTTCTAGGGAGAGTAGCCACAGTCTTCTGAGATCATTCTTGTGAATAGCAAACCCAAAATGTTTGAATGTTTTTTATAAGTAAAAGGAGCTCTCACCCACATTTCCAAGACTGTTTCATTGATTGGACTACAGGTTTGTTAATGTCTGACTCAAATAGCTTTTGTTAATGTCACCAGCCGAGTAGCTCACATACTCGCATACTCACCGAGCGCACATCCCAACTCCGCTGCAAACACTCGTATGGTGTCCTCCGTGAACTGACCGATCATCTGCCAGTAGGTGTACAGGTCTCCTGTGCTGCAGTAGTCGCACACTGCAGGAGTAGAGACAGCATTAAAACATGCCTCTGTCATGTGATGTGAGGTGCACAGGGGTAGTGAAGGTCAGCGGGATGTGGAACACACACTGGTGAAAGAAATTAGGAAAAAGGAGTTTAATCTGGAAGGCAGGACAGTGTAAAACTATTTTACTCTACAAACAAAACAAAGGCAATTTACTGTAGTCTGGTTTTAGCCGGTCTACCAAGCACACAGTTTTGAAAAGATATAGGTTGGGCTGGGGGTTACAGAAGTGTATAGGTGTGTGTGTCTGGAAAAATGGATCGCCCTTCTTTAATTGGGGATAATATTTTTTGATCGCTGTTACACATGAGAAGAAAGGAAAATGTTAGGCGATGCTTATGCTCCATATTCACATTTATGACTTAAAAGATGTGATTCAGTGGTGATTCACCGTTTAAGCAGGCGTCCTTTCTTTTAAAAGTGACACATGTATTCTTGTTGAGCTGCAGCAGCGTTCAACATCTGGTCCCCGGGCTAACACACTCACAGGGGGTGGGGAAGCAAACAAACTGGGTCACACTTTCTGAGTCAGTGACTGATCTGGAAAAAAGGGTAAATGCTCTGGAGGAGAGGAAAACGCGGCAAAACAGCTACAGGATGCACAGGCAGTGGTAGTTCGGGGTTGCGGGGTGGTGGGGATTTTGTTTGTGTTTCTAGGTGCTGTGCAAACAAAACACAGAGAATTAAAGGACTTAATAGGAGGGCTCTTTGTATTTGCATTCTAGGTGTTGGCTTGAGGATTGTGGGTAGATCCTGGACAAGACTACCAGTGTTAAGGTGAAAAAAAGTGGAGCGAAGGGATTTGGGTAGTGGATCTGGGACTGGGTCACTGGTCTCTGGCTGACTCACTAATGTAGAGGTGGCGCTGTGTCTGCCAGCAGTCCTCGAGGTCATGGACAAAAGGGTGACGAACCTGACGCTGCGGGCAAAGGTCAAAGGTCAACCCGGAAAATCTCACTTCTGGCCATTGATCAAAGAGAAGATTTTTCTTCCTTGGGTCCAACTGAGATATGTCTCTCTCACAAATTTAGTAACATTTGGTCTTGAAATCTGACATAAAACTGCTTCAAATGAGACATTACAGATGAAATCATATTTGAGAAAAGGGCGAATGAAAATCATTTCCTCAGACTAAATAAGTTGGTCCCACAACATATCTGACAAAGTGTGACTCTATTCACAGCATAAGCTTCAGTCTTATTCACATTTAATTTATACTGTAGCTGAATACATTCCATCAAGGTTTAGGCAATTAATTAATCATATATGTATAATAATACATCATCTGCATAAAGACATATTTTATATTCTTTTCACCTATTTTTATACCTTGCATATTTGAGTTATGTAGTTCAATGTTGACTGCAATAGAAGGGCAGTTGAAGGGCAATCTTTATGTACTCTTTCCTCATACTACTGCTACTACTACTATTACTACTAATAATAATTAATCTAATTTTAAGCACCTTTCACATAACCCAAGGACAAGCATAAAAAAGGAAAAACGAATGAAAAAGACTAGCTAAAAAGATGGGTTATAAGTCTAGATTTAAAGACACAATTACTAAAAAGCAGTGATAAATATCCCTTTACCTTGAGTCTTGTGTGAATGGTTGAGCATTAAGTCTCATTGCTTTTACATTTGACAGCTTAGAAAGCTTTATTAATCCTGTTTTTCTTAGAAGGGAATATTGATGAATTTGAATGCTGTATTCACTATTTCCAAAATCAAGTCTTTTCAAAGGCATATATTAATGTCTAAAAACTTTCAAGACTTCATTCTTTCTGAAATCTACACACTCTCCATGATTTTCAAGGTCTTCTCTTGGTACTTACCTGGACAATAACTTCTTCTTTCGACTGCTCCAAGACCCCCAGCCTCAGAATCTCTGATTTAGGTATAACCTGTTGACCAAGAGAAATACTGACCTGAAATAACACTATACAGGACTCACACAGGACTCTAATGATTTCACATGCACCAAAATATTTATTACACAGTTGTAGTTAACTACAACAAGTGTGTATGTTAGAGGCCTCACTGACTACAGTTAAAATGGGTCCTGACTTGAAGGCAATTTTGACCATTAACAAGAAATTTCTGGTTAGTTTTAAGGACATCAGTCTTTTAAAATGCAGCACAAAACAGTATGCATATAAGTTTATGTTCTACAGGTCTACAAAAAGTCACTTTGTATATTACTGTATTTGCACTAGTCACTTTCATGAATTTAAAAAATAGCTGTTCACGGCTTTGATCACTCAAACACATTTAAAATGTGAGATTCAGGCAGAAGACTCACTTTGACAGCATATGTTTTCTGTTTGGCCTTGTCCTTCACCTTCAGAATGGGTCCAAAGGAACCTTTGGCGATGTAACCCAACACCTGGTAGAGTGACAAACACAAGTAATGTGTTATCCAACCATATCAAGCCTTACACACACTATTGGTGTCTACGTTGGGATTGAGGTCTACCTGAAAGTGCTCATGCCCAGGCACAGTTCTGTGGGGAAATTCGGGCAGGAACATGATAATAAATCCTGGCAGACTCCATTCTGCTCTTAGCTTGTCTGGTCCAACTCCTGCCAACCTCAGGACATGTTCTGGGATGTCAGGGGACTTGCCTTGGAGCATTCGACGCTGGCCCAGACGCAGGGCAGTTGGGGCCAAGCGACAGAGGCCTGCTGGGATGGACAGACCCATGCTCGAGAGGAAGCCACGCCATCCAGATGGGAAGTGCTCATCCTCCTGCCCTTCGGTGGGCCTCTGTTGGAGGGGGGGGGGGGGGGGACAAGGGGGAAGAACGCACCAAGAAAAAAAGTAGCTTATAGCACTGTGGAGTTATTACCCTGACAGATCCTGGATCATATCAGTGCTCTCTGGGAAGATATTTGAAAAAGAATACTTTCATGTGACCAAGATCTTAAAAGGCCAACTCCTAGAGTCTCAAACTGACAGACTGTGTTAATCCTGGGACTGTTCATTTGACAATGTTGGGTCTCTATTATGCAAGGACCAGCACTTATCAAAGCTGGCGTGCAATGCTAAAAGCAATGTTTTTTTTACTTGACCTTTTGGGAGTTCATGGAACATAAACTCATAAGCCAACAGACGTGGTATAATCTGTGTCACAGAGAAGTTTTTTAGAAATATGTTTATTTTTCACTATTTAACCAGGGAAAGTTTCCTTAGCATTGCTTCATATTCACACACTGGGGAGCTGCTGAGTGCAAACACAGCTCCTCTGCTGCTGGACTAACTCTGTAGCTCTACTTACACAATTAGACATATACAGTACCACAAGGTTCATCCAGGGGCCATTTTTCCCTGCATTGGTCAATAGGGGAATAACAAAGTTTTATAGAAAGTGGAGATACAGCCCTATATGTTGTCAATGTTTTGTTTTTCATTAAGTATTTTTGAGTATTTTCAGAGTTTTATGAATGAAACATTTATAAAACTTCTTGTTTTAGGGTTGTAACCAAAGGCAGATGTGATTTTTCCCATTAGCTAGTGAGTGCTAATAGAGTTACAGCAGCTTATGTTACCATAAAACTCTTTTGGCATAAAGAAAAGACTCAAAGGCACAAATGTAAAGCAGCTATTATATCTATTAGACTGTCACTGTTTGTGTTTGAGACACAAAACATGTTTATTTTTGTTACAGGATCATGTTTAAATTAGGATTTCCATAAGCCTGTTAATGACATTGTAACCTGCAGTAGATTTGTGAAAAATTATGCAAAATGTTTAATGCAAACAATTACAGGGAAAACACTGCATCAGTGGTGCTCAGTGGTGAACAGATAAGTTTCATTTAACCATTGTTCTCATTTGTGATTGTAACAAGAGAAAAAAAATGCATGGTGTACATCCAGTCTGCAGTCACTCAGTCACACAAACCCTATTCCTCCTGGGGCCTTGTGCTGCACAACAGATCTGATGCTCTGTGGAGCAAGATGTGTGTAATCAACCATGCAGGATGTTATTATCAAAATTAAGGGACACATGGACACATCTATAGTCACTCAACTGCAATAACTAACATCAATGGGACACTGCCTGACATCTGACCAGAAGATGGCCAGTGATATGATTTAATTCAGTTTGTTAAAAGCTGTTAAGATTTTTAGATTTCAATACCGGAAGCGTGGCGACCTTGTCTTCAAAATAAGAGCGTAAAAATCCCAAAATATTTCGTGAAACTAACAGAAAAGACCTTTAATGCGTAATATTAACTACGAATTTATCAATGAATATGCAATTTGCTTACAATTTTGTTCAATATGCTGCTGAAAAATAGTAAAAATCAGTTAAAACAGTCAGTCAGGATTGGCATCGTCTATCTGCCTAGTGATTTCGCTCACCAAATCATCGCCATGGAAACAAGGAACCCCCCTACGTGCGTCACACCTTAGCAACCAGGAATTTCACTCAACTCACCTTCCTGTTTTTACTGCCGTCGGCCCCCATCAGTGTGACAGGACATCGACACTAACCTCAGTGCGACGTCTGCTCCTCATCCAGCCGCTCACATTGCACCGCGCGCCCTCACGGCAGCCCAGTCCGCAGTCACATGCACAACACACAGACTAATTTCAGACTTGTAGAAAGCTAACAAACACTCTTTATCAACGATCTGCAGGTGATCGGGGTATCCTGAACAAAATGTGATAGATATGGCGACATAAAAACAAGTTAATCCCGAGTATGGGCAACGTCAGCGCAAATCCGCCCACATCTTTGCCATCCAATGAGACTGCAACCTGGTGGAGTTCAGCTCCCCCTGCTGTAACCAGAGCTGTAGACCTATAGTATCTAAGAATAAGTGGCATTTTCTTTCTATTATCTTTTGTACCATTTTTTTTTGGGACGGGGGCATAGTTTGCAGAGAACACACAAATACAGGCAGCAATAATGCTATAAGTGCATTGTGTGGTTCAAGATGATACATCTTCCATGGACATCTCAATTCAATTTTTCAGTTCACTTGGTCTAAAAATAAACCAGTGCATGCATAATTTCTGCTGCCTTAACATGTGAAACCCCACAGAGCAACATCAAATACAAATTCATGCATGTTTGTGGTATTAGTGGTTAATTTTGGGACATAATGACTCTGATCTCATCCTAATTTTACTCATTTAATCACTAGAAAACCCAAAGCAGGATCAGATTAAAATTCAAATTTATATTCAACAATGTCCATGAATATGCAAATTACCGTTTCAAGGTTCCAACACAAAGCACTGCACTTACAGAACGTGGCTGAGTGACACAATAAAGTAAAAACACAATGCAAACTAAGACGTGACAGCGCAAGTGCCTTTTATTTGGGACTAAGAACATAAAAAGCAAACAGTGCCATCTGAACATTTTACTTTCACATATGACTGTGTTTACCACCGTATGGCAATTTCTACAAAATAAACCAAACTGTTGAGCTTTAAATAAACAAGTAGAAAAGGGTTTTGTGAATCCATGTGGGAGCGTTCAGGGTAAAAGTCGCATCAACTGGACAGCATCACATTCAGTCATCCTCGTCGAAGTCCTTCCTGCCCTGGGGAGCTTTGGGTCCCCCTGCTGGTTTGGCCATGATGATCTGAAAGGAGACAAGACAGTAGTCATTTAATCCTTCCTGGCTAAGCTCTGAGATCCAAGTAACAGGCTGTGGGCTCTGAGGCAGGGCGCGAGGTTACAAACTTGTTATACAGTAGTTAGCATCAGAGGGGAAAAAAATCTGAATGAATGCTTTTTAAGACCAAAAAAAGAAAAGATTAGATTAAATGGCCTTCCCAAAGACAGATCAAATACCTGTCTATTTTCAGTGCTGGAATAACTGCAGCACTTCAGGCACACTTCACAAAATCTATCCAAATTGAGATGCCGAGGACAAAGTTACGAATGTTAAGATAATCTTGGTAAAAAGTAAGTAATAACACTCATCTGGGAAGATGAAGGTGGTTTTAATAATCTCATCTGGAAACTGTGGAAGAGGGCTGAGATCTAAAGAGTGCAGTTTTTTGATGAAGTAGAATGGCTTCATAGTGATCAGAGTACATCTTACTAGGAAAACGCCCTTCAGACAACAAAGCCACTTCAGCCTCCAGAGCCCTGTGTCTCATCTCATTTACATGCTCCCTTCATATTACATTATGTTACATGCAACCTGAGAACGCCGACTGCAAGGAAAAGAGTTCATGAGTGCATGCAGCATGCTAACACACCACACCGTATCCTTTCAGTGCAAGTTTAGTCCGCTGTCAGTGACACACCTGCTGTTATTAAAAACACACGTGAAGTGGCTGAATCTAAATCAGCTATACAACATATCTCTGCATTGAGCTCTGTATCACACCCAGTGTTAGCAGTGACAGGCAAAACAACAAACATTTTTCAGTGGCCTGTGAGTGATTGAGCACATCCGTGTGAGTTTCCTGAGTCAAAAAACACACACACATTCCAGGACCTACTGACAGAGGGTGTGTGTATGTGTGTGCCCTCTAATGATGTGTATCAAAATGATCAGGCTCTTCATCCCAACCGTCCTTGTCCCAATGGCCTCTCTGCTTGGGAGCCTTGGGTCCCCCTGCAGCCTTAGCCATGATGATCTGGATTGTACACATGTCCACACACACACTAACATTAACTACCTGGAGCTATTAATTCACTCAAGAACATGTCACCTGCTGAATTAAAGAATATTAGCTTAATATAAAATCATACACACAAAAATAAAACTGAACATTAACAATTTATGTGACAGAAATCATCAATCATCAAATGTTGAAGCCAGGAGGCCTGTATCGCAAAGTGAGTTCAACTTAGCCCAGCTCTCTTTGGTTTAACTAGCTTCACCGAGCCTGACTCTGGCTGTCCTGGATAAACCTGTCTCACAAAGCTGGTTATCAACTGGCTCTAGGTAGAGTGGTTAATGACAAGTGACACTGCCATAACCACGAATAAAGTGCTTGACATGATACCAGATGAAACTGTTATAGCGACAGCAAAAAAGTGAAATGTTAAGAATATAATCACATAACTTGGAAAGAATAAGTACCTATAGAAACACTAGAAATCATTTCCATATATTACCATAAGGTTAACGCTGTAAGTGGAATTACGCAGGAATTATTATATATGTCTTCAGTATAGAGTGAATATTTTTTGCTTTTTTGTCTGATGATGAATAAACTATTATGAATATGCAAAGCAGATTTAAAAAAAAAAAAAAAGAAAAGAAAGAAAAGTAACTGTTGCTGCTGCCAAATAAGAGGAGGAGACAGTAGTTTGTCTGTTAAGGCCAATCTCACTGGTATGTTGCATCTATAATCATGGAAAATCTCTCAGTGTGTGGATTATTTTTCACTGATTTAAAAGCTTCATTTTAAAAACAGCAAAACGATTTGACTAATGTTGACACCACACCACAGATGAAGGTAAATTAAAACCCTGATGATATTAGATTCAATTAACAGCACAACTTCAAAGCAAAATGCTGCGCCTTATTACTGTCTGCAGATTGAGTAAATGGATGAGGCAATATTCTGTATCTTTCATATTGTCAAATAATAACCCATGAAAAGACCAAAATCCAGGAATTGCTTGCACTAACAAGAATCGCCTCCTATGTAGTCAGCGTCTGATAAAAGTAATTCCCATTGTTGTCAAGACACTATTAAAAGCTAATTAAACCTCACAGCTGCATGGAGTGACGCGTTCCTTTTTTTTAAACAATTAACACGGGAACTGTACTTTACAGTGCACTCAACCCCACAGACACTATCCTGCTGCTGTCAATACTCGCAAAATGTGTATCAATCCATGGCTGAAAACAAATCCCCAACTAACTGCATTACTAACAATGATCGTTATAACCTTCAGTTCCCAGTTGCTTTTAGAGAAGTTACAAAGTACTGAGAGAGAAACTAACATATTGTTTGTTTTAGTCTTTTCAATGGATTTGTTGACAATAGGAAAAATATGAAAGAAGTCCTAGCGCCACGTGAATTTGAGGTTGCGCGTAGATTTTTACTTTGTGGCTGCTTTTGATTATGTTATGATTATTATGTGTGTCATGAGTATTTGTGTACACACCTGATCAACTCTAAGTACTGTGATGGCAGCATTGGTGGCCAGTTTGATGCCCCAGTGTTTGACCAGGTATGGCTCCATAATGCCGCCTTCAAGCATGTCCTTCAAGGCGGGGCCCTCTCCCTAAAAGACAACATCACATCAAAGCCATCAGTCATCAGATCCAAAACACACAAACATGCAGTTTCAACACATTCTTAAACAAATCCAATGGGTTGCTCTGCATTCAGGAAAACAGAGCCTGAAATGTTCTACTTGGTCTGATTTTCCACTAATTGGCTGTCAATATTAACAGATACAAAATGTACATAGTCAAGCATAAATATCGTCTACATATCTGAATGTTACATGCCGCTGTGGATGCTTAACCTTGCCATATAACAAATACCTTAGTAACAGGATTTTAAATGCATTATATAAAGGAATTTCTAAGTGTAATGTGGTAAAATCAAAGATGTCCACACATCATAAAGTATGTAACTTTTTTTTTTCCCCGAAATCCGCACCATAGGGAAATATCTTCACAAAGCTTTTGTGTGACTTTCACAATTGGGCTGTATATAGGGAGAGACTACTTGTGTGTTAGTGATTATTATTAATTAAAACATTTGTTTGTTTTTCCTAAGGGATCAACCTGAAGCTACGGCTTCAAGAAGGAAAATTTGAAATTTATATTCAATTGATAAGAGGGGCTAATATGTGCTGGATTCTCTAGACAATATAACTGTTAAATAAATCATAATCAAGTCATACAAGTATTCTTCTGTTCACAAACACACCTCAATGTCAAAGCCCATGTTTTTGTTTCCCTCGTGATGTGCAGAGTACAGTTTAGAGATGAGCTCGCTCCCCTTCACACCAGAGTTCTCAGCCAGTGCACGTGGCAACGCCTCGAAGGCCTCAGCAAACTTTTTAATGGAATACTGCTCCAGACCGGGGCAGGACTACAGGGAGGTGAAAAAAAACAGAGGTCATGTTTCTGTCAGGTATCATCTGGTGATACACTAAAGACATACAGGGCATGAAGAACAGGAGAGGCATTAGTCCGTTTCAGCTAATGCACTTAAATCTGCATACCTCTCCATATGAGGTGATCTGTTTGGCCAGCTCAATCTCAGTGGCTCCTGCTCCAGGTACCAGGCGCTTGTCCTAGAGACAGTGAAGGACACAAACTGAAGCTTCTGTGCAGGACAAATGGTAAATGAAAGGGTTCAGCATAAACTTATTAAAAAATGTAATTAATAATCAACTTTGTCTTTTGAACATCAACAAATCACACTACAACGTGTTTGTAATACTTTCAAGATGTAGTCATGCTAGAATTGTTCATGGCCCAGGAAAGAAAGCCAAGGCCAGCATGCTGGTAACTGTGGAAGGTGCCTCTGTATTAACAGACCTACTTAAGGCACAG